ATTTAGTTCCTGGTCCACAAAAGTTATAACCGGGAATATGAAGTTCAAACGGTAATTTATTAATAACCGAATTTACGATCCCACGTCCACAATATCTCTTTCTGTAGGTCTCAATCCGACGACTGTTCCTTTTTCGCTTCGTAATCTTCATTTATACTCAAACTTTCGGATCAGCTAAACTACTAACGGAAACGTAGAAAAATTTAGTATTTATACCCCCCCACATGTCAGTTTCTTAATCAGATGTCGAAATGCGTTTGACACCTCAAAACCTCAAATTGCCGATAAATAATAACGATATCAAAATTAATAGTGGGAATAAAAGACATGGGGATCTTTTACCATCTACAGTAAGATGTATTATTGTCGGACCGTCTAACTGCGGAAAGACTAATGTTATGATAGGTTTAATCGAACATCCAAATGGTTTAAGATTTGAAAATGTCTATGTGTATTCTAAATCTCTTTTCCAACCAAAATATCAATATTTGGAAAATCTTCTAAAACCTATTAAAGGTATAAATTTTTATAGTTTCAGCAATTTCGACAATAACAACATACCACCACCGCACAAAGCTAAAACTAATTCTGTCTTTATTTTTGACGATGTGGCATGTGACAAGCAAAATTTAATGAAAGAATATTTTAGCATGGGACGACACAGAAATATAGATTGTTTTTATTTATGTCAAACCTACACATGTATTCCTAAGCATTTAATAAGAGACAACGCAAATTTTATCATTTTATTTAAGCAAGATAATTTAAACTTGCGCCATATCTATGATGATCATATCGGCACTGATATCTCATTTGATAAATTTAAAGAAATGTGTTCATTTTGCTGGCAAAACAGTTATGATTTTTTAGTAGTCGATAAAGAGAACGAAATTCGTAGTGGTCGGTTTAGAAAAGGATTTGATAATTTTATTGATCCATTTTCATAATTTCAGTCTATAGAAGTATGTTGAACATTCAACATGCCAGTTCCTGTAAAATATAAATGTCCAAAATGTGGAGGTGAAACAGATACTCCTAACTTACCATGTATATACTGCTACTATAAAGATCATATAAGAGATCATTGCAAAACAAAACATGTGCATCTGTACTATTGAATAAAGTATTTTTATAGAATGTTTGTGAAATTTTGCATAGGTATATAAGCCTATCATTCAAATAAATAGATACAGTTTATTTGTATTTTCGGAAGCCTTAGGAGACATGGATTCAAAAATATCAGATGTGGTTGATTTAAAAAGGAAACTGATTAAGAAAAGAAAAGATTTACAAAGAAAATTAGAACTAATTAAAGCAACTCAACGAAATGAAGAGAAAAAGTATGAACCCCTCACTAAACATTTGGAAACATTAATTGAGAGACGGAGTGAAAATCCAATAAAAAGTAATCAAGATGTGAAAACAAAAAATGTGTCGAACATTGAGCACAGTACACCTACAAAGCGAAAGTTAGAAAATACAATTCTGTCTCCTGTTCGTGAGAAAAAAACTATTGTTACTACACCAAAGCAAGCAGAAATTTTCACGCCAAGACAAAAAAGAATTGCTACAAAAGTTGCTAACCTTGTGAAAAGAATCGATGCCATCAAAAATGAAAAAGAAGATCGAATGAGTCCGATTAGTTCAAAATATGATGTTTTATCACAGGAAGATTTCGAAGAATCAATAAATAAAACAGATGCACAGGACAATGTGTTCCAATACATTCCCGAGGAAGACAATGATAATTATAACTTCAATGAGGTTCTTGAAAAATCTGTTCAGTTAAGTAAAAATTATATTAAAAACATCGTTGATACAGACGTTTACAACGAATATTTAAATGATTTTGATGAATTACCCAGAAAATATATTGACGAAATGCATCACGATGCAGAAAGTAAATTTGATCACAGAACAGGCGTAAGACATGACACTTTCTCAGAGAAATTTTATATTGGTTCGAAGGAGGTACAATTTATAGGTCCAGATATAAAAATAGACAATGAAATCTTTAAAGGGACTCCTGGAATTTATGAACTTATTTTTAAAAAGAAGCCTGTTCATTTTACTACGGAAGACAAGGAAATTTACAAAAAAATTTTAGAAAAAACCAATGCATATCGAAGAAATTTCGATGAAAATGATCGAATATTGGGTACAAGTTCGATGAAATACAAAAATATTATAGGACCATTATTCTCAACTCTCACGAAGTATAAAAAACCGAAGAAAGGTGGTCAAGTACTATTTAAAGAAGTAAACACAAATAAAGTTGATTATGTGTATTGGGAAGATCCAAATGAATTAGTTGAAAGACTGAAGTTGTTAGTCGCTTCCCAGACAGCAGGCCATTCGGGTCATCAAAACGAAATCGTTTCTATAATAGAAGAACTACGCGAAGCTAAAATTATTGCTTAATATGACTCTGGATAAATTCGGGCGTCATTTGTTAAAACATGCTAAACTTTCAGGTTCTATCGACAATGATATGATTACTATTTCAAACTATATGTTCTATAATCTGATATTTCGCTTCGAATCCGATAAAACCGTGGAAAACACGTATGTATTAAATTCTAAAGAAACGCACTATACGTTTCCTTTAGAAATTGGAACCCTTACAAAATTGAATATTACCATTAATGAAATAAATGTTTATGTAAATAACAAATTTTTTAGTAAAGAAGAATTGAAAGGATTTGTACTACGTAACGGTGATCGAATATCGTTCAAATATGCTGTAAATAAAACAGAAAATGTACCAAATTTGTTCGCAGAAATGATAATAAAATGTCCTGTTAATTTTGAAGAATCGTTAGTTAGTGCCGAGAAAGCACATTATATACATAAGACTGATAAAAATGAAACGCAAGAAGGTGTATGAGCCAACTCCCATTAAAAGAGATATTGTTGCAGAATTGCACAAACCCGTAAGAATTAATTTTAAACGACGCAAGGTTATAATAAAAGGTATTAATGAAACATTACAAGCAGATCTAGTGGAAATGATACCGTATGCTAAGATAAACAGAGGATACAAATATATACTTGTTGTTATTGACTGTTTCTCAAAATACGTGTGGGCTGTCCCTGTAAAGTCAAAAGATGCTCAACAAATCGCCACTGCAATGGAAACAATTTTATCCAAAATCGTACGGTTACCCAAAAATTTACAAACAGATCAAGGAAAAGAATTCTACAACGTAAAGTTTCAAAATCTTATGAAAAAATACAAAATTAATCATTACAATGTCTACAGTTTAAAAAAAGCCTCAATCGTCGAAAGAGTAAATCGCACATTAAAAAATTTAATGTGGAAAGAATTTAGTTTGCAAGGAAATTATAAATGGTTAGATTTATTGGCAAATGTGGTACATCGATATAATAATTCTTATCATCGTACTATAAAAATGAAACCGTCACAAGTTAACAAAAGTAATGAAAACGCTATTCTAAAAGCTGCTTATACTCAGATTAAAATAGTTAGCAATAAATCAAAATTTAAAGTTGGTGATAACGTAAGAATAAGTAAGTATCGCGGAATATTCGATAAGGGATACACACCCAATTGGTCAAATGAGATTTTCATAATAAGAAAAATTAATCTCACTAATCCCACCACATATTTTTTGAAAGATGAAAAGGGTGAAAACATTTTAGGTGGTTTCTATGAAATGGAACTATTGAAAGTTAAGCATCCAGGTGTATATCTCGTTGAAAAAGTTTTAAAAAAGAAAGGTAATCAACTTTATGTTAAATGGTTAGGATTTAATAACACCCACAACAGTTGGATTGATAAAAAAAAATTACATAGTCGCTTTTCTCTCAGTCAGTTGACATAATTGATACGATGAAGTTGGTTGTAGTCGACGTACAAGGTTTTTGTCTACCTGAATTCATTGTAAAAGAACTTGCGATTTACGATGGAATTAACACAATACACGAAACATTCAAATCTACAAAACAACTCAAAGAAATCGATGAAAGAACGAAGAAACAAGCTAGATATCTAGAACGTTATCATCACATGTTGAGATTTAATGACGGCTTCAAGGAGCAGATATCTGTAAAAGAAATTTTGTTCAAATACATCAAGGAATATGCAGTGGAGATCTTATATGTAAAAGGAAAATGTAAAGAAAATTACCTTAGGGAAACGCTAGGAAAAGACTGCCCCAAAATTGTGAACCTCGAAACAATTGAAGACTCTGTGAAATTATCTAAAGAAATCCCAGCATGTGATAAACATATTGCTAATAATAAAAAATGTTACTGTTCTTTAAACAATGCTAAATGTATTTACAATTGGTTGTATTCAAGGTTTCCTCAATAAATAATACTATATTAAACTGTGTTTTATTTAATCGCAACACAAAACGTCAAAATAACGAACGAAAAAAAAAAACTGTCAGGTGTGGGATTCGAACCCACGCTCCCTTTCGAGAATCAGAGCTTAAATCTGACGCCTTAGACCGCTCGGCCAACCTGACTATGGAAAAACGGGTCAGGTCGATCGAGTAAAAGGCATTGCCAAAACGTACAGGTCAGGCACGTGAAGTCCTAAGGCAAGTCAGCCAAGGCCAGCCCCGTGCAGCGACCCGACCTAAAAAAAAAAGAGGGGATAGATCTCGAGATGACCAAGGGCAATAAACGTAATTCCTACAGACGAATCCATCGACTTTTATACAAGTATAAAACGGAAGTGGGGATGCGAGATTGCGTCCGAGATCCCTCCCCGACCTAAACGAAAAGAGGGGATAGATCTCGAGATGAACGAGGGCAATAAACGACCAAGGTCGAGCAACGACTAGGTCAACGATCGCCCGATGAAAAGTAATGGGGGAGCTGGACCAGCTGGCAAGGTCAGCCACGTGCACCGACAAGCTCGACAACAAATGAAAGGTCAATGACCGCTCGATGAAAAGTAATGGGGGAGCTGGACCAGTTTGACCTCATTTGACCTGGTCTAGAACCCCCACTATATAACTACTCCAAATCCCGAAGTATATGATCCTATGAGATTTACCGAAGAAAACATGAAGACTAGACCAGAGTATACGTTTTTGGCTTTTGGATCAGGACCTCGAAACTGCATAGGTTTGATTTTTTTTTCTTAGTGAATAAAAATTAATAATACTTAATGAGTAAAAAATTAAGTATGCATTTTAATATATTCGGTGACACAATGTCTTCTCAACTATACTGGACGCAGGACCTATAAATAGTTTGAAAATGAAGCTTCTAATATATCTGTCACGGTAATTTTGCTGTTTTGTTGCTATTTGAACACTAAACTTTTTACTTTATGTATTGTCAGTATAAATGTAATGGTGGAAAATTTAACAACATAAAAGCGAAATAATTTCAAAGCAAACAAATAACAATACAAATTCCATAAAAAAAAAAGACTGGTAATAAAAGATAGGAATGGTCCTCGATAAATGTTTAACCTTATGTTTCATAATAGACGCCTTGCATTTTTCTGGCAAAAAAATTACTTTAAATTTTACATAATTGTTAAACTGGTTAATAGCAAGTGCGCATTTATTTATAAATTTATAAACATATCAAAATTAATTAAATTAAGTAATTTAAAGACATTAGAAAAAATTTATGCTAACAACTATATTGACTTTTAAATTTAAATTACTCTTTCAAGAGGTGATGTTGATGAAAACATAGTTCAAGATCAAGGTCCTTTCTTTTGTAAGCTACAATATCCTGTTTATTTTGCATTAGCATTTAAATACATTAGTTTGTGTTTCAAAATACCCCGTTATCTCAGAGTTAAATTCCTTGAATGAATCCAAAGTTTCACAACGTAGCTTCTATTTTTTCTCAATGCTGTAATTATCATTGTATTTATTTTTAGGTGCCAGATTTGCCTACGCCAGTTTAAAATCCAGTTTGGCAGCGATAATATCCAGATATGAAATCGAATTTTGCGAAAAAACTAAAGATCCTTTGATTATAGATCCTAAGGGTTTTCTCTTAGCGCCTATTTCAGATCTTTACCTTAAATTTAAAAAATATGATAAAATGTAAAAGTACTCTTAATGGTAAACGTAAGTTTTATGTGTAATGGCTTTTATCTACTTAATATTTTTTTACAAACTGTGTATTTTTAATAATAGTAAATTTAAAAAATAACATGAATGTAGAAGTTATTAATTGTTAAATAAAACAAATGTTTTGAATTGTGCTGTGCTTTTCTTCTTACTTTCACATACTTAGAAAATACTATACAAAAATTCTTCGATTGGGTTGATGGAGATGGTTAGATATGAACTGGGTTCATCACGACACACTAAAAATCAAAAATGATCTAAATTAAGGGATCGTTTCCTTCCTAAAAAATGCATAATCGTTCTTATTACGAGGGAGATTATTTATTTAATTTACTACCATTCTATTGTACCACGTATTGTTGAATGATTATTATTATCCGCCAGAATCACACAGATTTTAATTCGTAGTATCTCGTAAATCTCCCAAAATCTTTCCTATCACAACTTTTGACGATTATGAAACTAAATACTGCAGCGAAGAGTTATTTTGAGAAAATCAATAATACTCAGTGTAACTGGATAAGATAGAGTTTCTGAAGTACGGAAGTGCATTGAATCTGAAAAACGCCTACAACATTGGTATTATAATAACAGTAATTTTCAAAATTATAGTGTCATGAAATTTTCAAGTTACTCTTGTATTTCGAAATCTGCTTTTTCTTAGAAACGACACTAGTTTATCCTGCTTAGTAATAATGACATATTATTTAACCAATAATAGAAATAATGACAGATCAAAGTATAAATTATCCATGCCGACATTTAACAACTTTGCGTGAGTAATTACAATTTGTTTTAAAAGTAGGATCCTCAGGCATACAGTTAATTAATTTTTGGTTATTACTTTATAACTTTCAATCGCTTGTATGGCGAAAAATAGTTATTATAAATGTGGTAAATTTAAAATACATTAAGTAACATCTGTAGAAAAGAATAACGGAACTAATGGGTCAGGTCAGGTCACATGCAAAAGTTGGAGATATGGATTTTCAAACTTATGTTGCTATGTATAATTATTTCCATATTCTATTCTAACTTATCAATATCAATAGTCAATACGTATAGTATAATACTAATAACAACAAGAATTTCAAAACAATTAATAGTAAAATAACTAGTTTCTGATTTAATTAGTAAAATAAATTGCGTATTTCACTATTTTTTGAGACATCCTCTATACACAGTTTAACAAAACATAGAATATATTATTAAACCATAAGAGCCATGTTATAATACAAATTTCAAACGACATTCGCTTACTAAAATTTTGAGATAACATCATCATTTTTTGTAAGGTATGAATAGGTAAATTATTATAGTGATATACTCGTGAAAACCTCAAAGCATTTGCAAAATTTTAGAGCAAGCGGTTTCGTAGTCTCCAAATTAAAATGTATAATTTTATACTACAATTCTGTTTTTTTAAACCTACAATCATTTTGTGAAAAAGAGGAATCAAACCACTATATTTTATGTACGTACGTTTTAAATAAGATTTACTTTGCAAAATTCTGAGATGATGTGATGATGATTTTTGTTAGGGATGAAGATACAAATTTGATTTCATCACGATATTCTTCAAATATACCTAAAATGTCAATAGCTCCAGAAATAATCTGTCTAAGAATGTCCCCCAAAAGACAACGACAAACAACAGACATATGAGTACGGAAGACCTAATTTTCCCTATTCTAGGAGCTATGAAACTTTGACATGAATTTATCCGTTCCTCAAAACAACTGAAATAACAAATCTTGATTATAAATTACGGGAGCAAACACAATGCGAAAAATAGTAAATAAGAAATAAGAAATATCCTTTATTACACCTAATCGTGGCTGCTGAAAATTTTTAGTTTCTATTTCTTATCGCTTATTTATTATTTCTTGCATTGTGCTTGGACCTTAATATAGATTTATAGATCCAATTTTTTCGAAAAAGAGGAACTGAAAAACTGACTAAAAATGCCCCTAAGTTTTGTCTCTTAGGAATTTAGTAGAATTTACCACTGTAAGACATAACCAATTACTGATTTACTGTTTTTTTATCTTCCTAAAAATATTTAAACAGACTTTTACTCGCCCCTAAAGAATAGGCGAACAAAATTATAAAATTAAGGTTTGTGAATTTAATTTTTTGACGATAACCCCTATAAGCTAAAATAAAGATATCTGTGGTCTGTTAAAATGCAGGTAAAGACATAACGACATCAATATCAATTTAAATAGGTACAATGAAACACCAATTTTCGAGAAAACGGGTGGCGTCACCGTGTATAAGTAATTTTAAAAAGTATTAATGTATTCATAAACCACAAGCACTATTACCAAGCTTCAAGTAAAATATCTTAAAGGGCATAATACAAAGTTTCCAATAAAAATTAACAAAAATATTGTTCCTCACACAAACTTTGTCACCCGTTCTTGTTCTTAGGGCTGCAATCTCGAAAAAATCTGAAATACGTGTTCCATATTTGTGTTGAAGAGTTCCAAGTAAAAATGTATAGTAGAAATATTTTTCCCATACAAACTTCGCCACCACTTTTCACCCCCTTAGGGGTTGAATCTAGGAAAATGCTTAAATACGTGTTTCATTATGCATTAATACTAAATATCACGTCAAAAATTTACAATAGAAATATTTTTCGCATACAAACTTAGCCATCACTTTTCACCCCCTTGGGGGTTGAATCTCGAAAAATGTTGAAATATGTGTTTCATCATTTATGTGAAGAGCATTAATACCAAGTTTCATGTAAGAATTTAAATTTACAGCAGAAATATTGGTGCTATACAAGTTTTACCACCTCTTTTAACCACCTTAGGGGATGAATTTCGAGAAATCCCTTGTTAAACGATCCCTCCAGTATAAAAGAACATCCTCTACAAATTTCAAATTTCTATAATTAGAGGTTTGGGCTGGGCGTTGATAGGTCAATCTGAACATTGCCTTTTATATATACCTATAGATTTATTGGCCAAATTTTGAGATGATGGCATCAATTTTTTGAGAGGGGATAAACGGATAAATTTTAACTAACGATAACCTTGCAAGAGTTCAGAGCATTCGGTTTTACAGTTTCAAAGTTAAATATCAATATGTTGTTACACAATTTTAATTTTTTCTCAAAAAATCAAGATGTCTAGGGTAATAATTTTAACAGGATTGCCTAAACCACAGATGAAGGAGTATCTTATTCTATCAAACAGTATGAACACCTTTCTTGATTTAGTATTTTCCAATGAAGTTAAGTTTACAACTAAATATGCAGATACACCTATTGTAAATGAATCTATGTTTCACTCAAGCTACACAGTCCAAATTAATTGTTATGCCAAATTTCGTAATCTTGAGATAGAAGAAATTTATTTTCACTTTAACAATGCAAATTTTGAAGAAATAAATTATCGGCTTAATCTATTCAATTGGGAAACACTCTTTTTATCTCAAGATTTAGATCAAGCGGTGAACACATTTTACTGTATAATATACGATATAATTCAAGATATGGTCCCTGTAAAGAAATTCCGATCTTCCCAATACCCTAAGTGGTTTTCTGGAGAATTGAAAAAACTTATTCGACAGAAAAAACAACTACATACCAAATATAAGGAAACAGGTCACTGTAATGATTATTTTAAATTCTCACAAATCAGAAGACTTTGTAAAACTAAAACACAAGAATGTTATGATGAGTTTATACGTAGAACCGAACAAGACAAAAATTCTGATCCCAAACTATTTTTTTTTTATAGTTATCCAAATACGATGAAATATAATGAAACGTCGTCTTGCAAACCAAATGAAGTTATTTTCAAACAGTTTACAGAGATCCATCCAAAAGTATTGACCTGAACAAAGTACAGATATCTGGTAAAACAAATTTTAATCTCAGTCTAGTAACTATGGGAGGAGTATTTAATGGAATCTTAACCTTGAAACCTTCGGGTAGTGCTGGTCTGGATGGGATTCCAACACAATTCTTAATACCGTGTGTGTTTAACTTATGTAAGCCCATTCAATATTTATTCAACGTATCCATTTCCTCTGGTAAATTTCCTGATTTTTGAAAATCGAGTTATTTGGTAACAATTTACAAATCTGGTAACAAGGAGCTTATAACAAATTATAGGGGGATTTGCAATTAGCCTGTGTTACCAAAACTACTAGATCGACTAATTGCTGATCAGTTAAAAGTAGTATGTAAACAGACAATCCTCGAGGAACAACATGGGTTCTGTCAAGGAAGATCAACTGCAACAAATCTACTTATTTACCAAAATTGTATTGTAAGCAGTCTTGAGGGGGATAATCAAGTTGATTCGGTTTATGAAGATTTTTCAAAAGCATTTGATAGGATTGATCATCAAATTTTAATATATAAACTCAATGCAATGAATTTTGATGACAGGTTTGTTAAGTGGGTAGAAATCTTCATTACAACTCGTTCTCAACTAGTAAAAATCGGAAAATTCCTCTCAAAGGCAGTTATTGTAAAATCCAGAGTTCTTCAGGGAGCCCATTGTGGGCCTCTTTTATTTAATCTCTTAATAAATGATATAGGCAATTCGGTAAAATATTCGAGAATACTTCTCTTTGCAGACGACTTGAAAATATTCAGGAGTATATCTTCGGTACAGGAGTGTTCGCTTCTCCAGAGTGATCTCCTAAAAGTTGAAAATTGATGCAAATGGAACGATATGGAAACAAATTTTGACAAGTGTTATAATTTTTTTATATGACTAAACATAGCATTGTTTTTTCATATAAAATCAATCAGATACCGGTAAAGGTGGTTTCGGAAATTCGTGACTTAGGTATTATAATGGACTCCAAACTGTGTTTTGTTCCACTGTATATGTGGTACAATTTTATTGTTGTTAGTGTTGTTGTTGTTGTTGTTGGTATTGTTAGTAAAGCTTATAGAATGCTTGGGTTGATCAATAGATCATTGAAATTATTCTCCGTCAATTCGCATAAATTAGTAGCTCCATTGTAAGGTCTCATTTAGAATATGCAAGTGTGGTATGGTCGCCTATGTACGAGTATATGACCCATACCAAAAGTTTGGAAAAGGTTCAAAATTCGTTTCTACGCACTTGTGCATGGAAATTAGGGTACACAAGAGAAGAATATACTTACCAGAATATAAGGGACATATTAAATTTAAGCACTCTTGAAAGCAGAAGATTACATACTGACCTTATTTACGTTTTTAGATTATTTAATGGTTATATCAGCTGTTCAGAATTGTTAGCACTTTTTAGTTTAAACTGCCCCACAAGACAGATGAGAAGCAATCCAATTTTTCACACGAAGCTGCATCGTACGAATTATGGATTTTTTTGTCCAATAGCTAGATTAACTCGGGAAGTTAATGCACACGATGTGGGAATTTTTGGTCCGTCCTTAAGACAATTTAAATCTAACATTGAGAATTTAGTTATTTAATGTATGTAATAATGTAATTTTGAGTTTAATTTTAAGTTTATTTAATCTGATTCACCTACATCAGCACTAATTATTGTAATGTGTACTAAAGGTGTCTCCCGTTAATAAATTTATTTATTTTATAAAATTTGAATAACATTTTTACAGTTGCAAATTTTCGAGATGCCGTCATCGCGTGGGAGTATCCAGACAAATTTTGTTTAGCATTTTACCGTCTATACTATATTCCTAATGGTAATATACATATAAAATTTGACGACAATCAGTACAGCAAACTCAGAGATTATCTCTATAAAAAAATCGACAGAGACTACACACAGACAAAAAACAGACGCAAACGAGAGGCCACTTTTTCATAATCTAGGGGTCATGAAACATCAAGAAACATGAAAGTACCTCGATGGACCCTATAACATTACTTTCTTCTCTTACGCTCTGGAAATACAAATGGTATCCAACCGACGAAAATTGTTAAACAAAATATTTCTTGGAGTATCAGTATATACAGTGTGATCAACCAAAATTTGAAAAATTATTCTTGTGTTACTACTGCCAAACTTGATCTAAGTACCGGGCGATGTATGATGTATGCCACTTTGAGGAGAAGAGGAGATCGAAAAAGTTGGGTTATGACTTATGAGTTATTAATAATAAAGCCCCAAAGACAATACAAGAACTAATAAATAAAAAACAAGAAATAAACGATAAGAAATAAGAAATATCTTTTGTTGTATTCCTTGTTTCTTATTTCAGTATTATAGTTTGTACGTGCCGGAAATTGTTATCCTTATTTCTTATTTTTTCCATTGTATTTGAGCCTTAATAATCAATAATAAATTTTGACAACAAGAAGTACAATCGGATGACAGTTCTACCAATTTTAAGCAAAACTTGCGCAGACCGACTTGTACGCGCTTTATATAAACTCAGAAAAAAAATCTAAAAACAACTTGCACTACAAGTTTATAAGTTTATTAAATAAAAAAAGCTAAAAAGTTAAATATGATGTATTAAATTTGTTACATGCCAAGTTTGTCACCATTACGTTGCATGTTTACTAAATTATTATTAAGCCGGATGCTCCAAAAGTCTGCATTAAAGTCAATAAAAACAATGATAAAATTAGGAAAAAACGCCTAACAAATTAAATAATTTCTTCCACTTTCAACATTTTAGAGCAAACTGGAGGTTTTACAATTTGCTTTAATAACACTTTGACATAGTCCACATATTTTTTTTTTATTCTGGAAGTATTTTTGAATGAACATTTGACAAGAAAATCTAAATTCCGTATTGTTAAATTTTCAAAAACTGAGTACAGCAAGTTAAAAATATGTGAAAAATGGCCATCATGTATTTGTTTTTTGACATCTTTATTTACCTATTAGTGATATCCAGCTTCTTCAAAAAATTATAAAATTAGATTTTGCGAATTTTTTTTTTATGATAACCTCTATAAATTAGGAAAATATAGATGATACTAATCGTGGTGTAAGAAACTGAACTACACGAACTTGCTCTGCGACATTATTATAGGTAAAATAATATTATGAAATTTAGATTTTCTTTATAAACCACAGGTACAGGAGTGTATTATTTTATAAAATTTAAATAGCATTTACCATGCAAAATTTTGAGGTGACGTCATCAAATTGTTGGTAGGGATGAACAGAACAATTTTGGCTAGCGTTTTACCGTCTACACGATATTCCCAACAAACATTTGACAAGAATAATTGACCCAGTAGTTCCAGAGACCCATTTTTTCTTACTCTACGGGTCGTAAAACATAAATGTAGTCTTCCCCGGAAAGTAAAAAAGTAAATGTCAGAAAAATTGTGTGTAATAATTAATAGTAAAACAAATCACGAATCATATTTATTCAGTAGTAGCAAAATATCGTCATGTCATGAATTTAGGCATATATTTGAATACACAATGCTTTGGTGTATGAAATGACTAGCATTAGCTGTTCTGCGAAGTTAGGACTTAATTCTTCATTATCTAAAATAAAATTGTTGATTATTTGCAGTGGGTACAAGTTATCATCAAAATACACAACTACCAATTTTATCCCATTCTAGGTGGGGAAATTCAACTCAGCTAGTCACTCATGATAAAAGAAGAACAATTAATCTTAGTTCATTGGCTAACAATGATGTCTACAATTCGCGGGTTATTTCTTTCTGTAATGAAAAAAAAGGGCGAAGAGTTTAAAAATTATTGGATATCCAGATATTCTTTCTGCTTTTTCAATGTGGTATTACACCTGAGGCACTTTTCCTCTGAAGGTGATTTGATATATATTATTTAGTATGTTTACGTTTAATGTTTAATTTCTTACAGACTTTGTGACTTCTTTTTATTTGTTGTATTTTTATTAAAAGAAGCGAAATTTACAAATTATTTTATATAATTCGTTGAACTATGTGTTATTTTATTATATGTTGTAGTAACATCCACTTTAGTGTCAAAAATTACTACAAACAACCACGTCAAGAATGTTCTAAGTAAACCTCAAAAATTAGCACGACATGTACTCTAATTACTTTTTGTTATTTCATCTTTTTTTTACCATTCTTTATGTAACTGCTGCAAGACCTCCAAATTACAAGTATTTATGTTCCATTTTACATTATCCAAGTTTAGAAACAACAATGAAAACGAACGTCTGTGAAATATGACTATTGTCAAACAAGTTTCAATAAACAAATAATCAAAAAGTATATAATATGACATTATGTTAAAAGTATCTTTCACGTGTATGTTTTAATGGCCGCTTTATATGAAGGTATTGTTCTTTCCGTATACGTTGTGATTACATATAACTGACGACCACAAATAATTTTATACTTTGCGTGTGTCTTTACCATCTATATAATTTAGCGGCACAAAAAACGCAATGTTTTCTATTTAAGAAAAAACTGCTTCGGTAATACCACTAGTTGCAAGAACATGTTTGTTGTAGACACTTTGTTTTAAAAAAATCAAGTAAGTGGTAAAACTCTAACTTAACACTTTATTCTTCTGCTTGTTCTTGTAGGTTTATCATGTTGCTAACATCGTATTTACCTGTAGACACAGTAATTTTATTATCTGTCTTAATTTTTCTTACCTACAAGTATTTATCAAGAAATTTTAAACACTGGGAAAAGAGAAATGTTTCCTTCATCAAACCAAGTCCATTTTTTGGCAATTTTCGCGAAATTTCACTTTTCAGAACAACTATAGGCGAACATTTAGCTAAATTATACAATCAGACTAAAGAACCCTTTTTTGGAATATTCGTTTTTGACAAACCCCACTTAATAATCAGAAGCCCAGAGTTAGTAAAAGCAATTCTAGTGCGCGATTTTAACAATTTCGATGACAGAAATGTCGCTTCTGCTCCACACGACCTATTAGTTTCTAATATGCTTTTCTTAAACAAAAACCCGGAATGGAAAACTATTCGTGTAAAAATGACTCCTGTTTTCACTACTGGTAAGCTCAAGGGCATGCTGCCCCTCATTAACGAAGTAGGTGAAACAATGAAAAAGTACATCGAAAATATAATTCCACACGTTTCGGTGGAGGCGAAAGAAATTTGCGCAAAATATTCGACCGACGTCATAGCCAAGTGTGCATTCGCGATAAATGCGAACTGTTTTAAAAGAGATGATGCTGAATTTAGGAAAATTGGTCGTCTGATTTTTGATTTTCGATGGGCCACGGCGATACAGCAAACTTCGTATTTTTTCTTGCCAGGGTTGGTGAAACTTTTTCGATTAAATTTCATGGACGCTAGAGCGAGCAATTTTCTTCGTGATACGTTTTGGCAGGCCATTAAGCTTAGACAAGGGAGGATGCAGAAGGCTAACGATGTCATCGATGCTATCATTGATATGAAGGAAAATGAAGAATTTTGCAAAAGTAATAATTTTGGTATGTTAACTTTGTTTATTTTTGTTGTTGTTTTGTTATAAATTCGTGATTTTGTAGAGGGTGATAAAGTGGTGGCTCAAGCGGCCCAGTTCTTCGTTGCCGGTTTTGAAACAACAAGTTCTACAATGGGTTTTACATTATATGAACTTTGTCTCCATCCCGGTATTCAGCAACGATTGAGGAAGGAAATTAAAACGTGTCTTCAACAACATGGAGGATTTACTTATGAGGCCATCCAGAGCATGAAGTATTTGCATATGTGTGTTTGTGGTAAGCTATATAATTACCTACGGTACAAATTTTACACTTAATTTAACACGATCATAAAAAGCAGCAAAACAAAATTTAATAGCAACAATTATATAATGATTGACAACGAATAATAACTTGTTATTGTTATTTAGTTTTTAATTATAGAATACTCTGACATGGAAAACATCAAATCTCTTGACATTGAATGTAAAATTAACATCTTTTTTTTAACTGTAGACACTGTTACTACCTTTAAAAATTAAATGAGTATTAGAAAACCCACTAAAAATGCAGTAAACAAAAATAACAAAAACACGGATATGCAGGTACGATAATTAGAATTATAGTTACGGTAAAGAAACATTTTTTTGTAAATAATTTTATCCTAGCATTACAAAGATCCTAAAGTCGCAATTCACGTTATGTAATTAGCTAGTGATGTTAGTTGAGAAATTTTAAATACTATCTAAATAAAATATTATGTGCAATAACATAATTTGACGTTTACAAGTATCTTCAAAAATACAAAGTGGAAATGTCAGTTTATAACATGAGCAAAATGTGCATTGTTTGATTAAAACGGTATCTAAAGTATCACGGAAATGTTTTTTAAGTAACATGGGTATCAATCCATTACTTAATTTGTTACTTTAAGTACACGGGTCGCCTTAAAAATGTTAGGAGTGGGTTTGTAAAAATAATTTGCTCAATTTAAGAAACGACACGATCATCACATTTTTTTATTTATGTTTACTAAAAAATATGTCCAAGGTGCGGAATTTCTTGTACTTTAAAAATATGCTCTCTTATTTTTTTCTGGTTGCTTAGACAGGGTGTCTCAAAAAATGAATATCTAGACAAATTTACTTCAACAATTGCCACAAAAAAGATCCATTTACTTTTTTATGATCCTGCGAAAATTATAAAGTTATGATCCGTGATATAATGCACGTACAATATCAATTATATTCTATTTATCCCCACCAAAGGTGAAATCATGAAACGTGTCCAGTACAAGATAAGTTCGAAAGGTTAGGTGTTAGGTGTAGACAGATAATTTCCGATAAACTAGACTGATTGTCGTGGAATTTTAGATATGCTGTAGAAATATCGCGTAGATCTATTTGTCTGATCATCCCCCCCAACAATTCGATAAGATCAACTCACCATTTTCGTAGGTAAATCCTGCATAAATTTTATAAAGTAACATGCTTCTATAATTGTAGTTTTTTCATTATTTGGTTGTACTTTAAACTTCTAATAAAACCAAATTATATATATTTTTTTTTAATTTTTTTTTTTAAATGACGTCAACAAATTGTTGGTGAGGATGATTAGTCAAATTTTACCATCTTTTACCATCTACATGATATTCCTAACATACATACAAAATCTGACAACAATCAAATGGAAACAGGTGACCACTTTTTTTGTACTGTAGGGAATATGAAACGTCGCGAAAACAATCATAAAAGTGGCAAATCACCCGATGGACTCGATTAGCCTAGGAAGTAATAAAAATAAAATTCGCTGAATTCAATTTTATAATTTATATAGGAAACTGGATTTGTTTGTTTATGCTTTTTGCGCTTATTTTTGTCTAACTCGATTGTCGATAAATAACACATCGTTTGGATAAAATATTCAGGTGTAAAAATTTAGAGTGTGTTTGTGTCAATATTTAACTAATAACGTTATTAAAAAATCACTGACCTTTAATAATGAGCATTCAAATTCAATTTTTTGTCTGCAGTATAATAAATTTAAAGTAGTTCGGCCACCGTTTGTATTAAATTCGAACCATTGATTTTATTTTATTTAAAAATCTAATAAATCATATTGACTCCTTTTATAAATCAAAGTGCTGACAAATTAATGTGCTTGTGTTATAACTGTTATAGTAGTTATTTTTGGATATTGAAATCTTATATCCATTCGTGTTGCATACAAAATTTTTCTTACAACTGGGAAATTCGAAAATATCAAAAGTGAGAAAATAGGGGAAAAATGTTTTAATTGTAGGTACTAAACCCAACTTGATAACCCACAAATCAAAATGAGTGTATGTTAACATTCTGTTTATTAATTCATTAATAAATTCTTTATAATATGTATCATCATACTGTTACAGTGTCTACATTCTAGAAATCTATCCCTTCTTATTTTCTTTCCAGAAACGTTAAGAAAATACCCAGTGTTGCCATTCTTGGACCGAAGATGTAAAGAAGACTACCAAATACCCGATAGCAACGTTGTAATCGAAAAAGGAACTCCTGTGTTCATTCCAATGTTTGGACTTCATTATGATGAAAAATATTTCCCAGATCCACAGAAATACGATCCTGAACGATTTTCCGATGAAAATATAAAAAAAGTGACTCCTTTCAGCTACATTCCTTTTGGAGAAGGTCCAAGAAATTGTATTGGTAGGTTTGACATAATTAATTATTTATGTGTACTGGCTACTAAAAATGGCTAACATTTTCGTAGGTGAAAGATTCGGAATGCTGGGTACTAAATTAGGCTTGATTCATATTTTATCGGAATTCGAAGTGGAGAAAACACACGATACTCCAGAACCTCTACAATTTGAAGCTAAAAGTCTTGTTCTAGCCTCGAAAGTAGGTCTACCTATGAAGTTCAGAAAATCATTTACATCTGCTGCTTAGAATATGTGATGATGGTATTCATTCTGTGAATGTTATGATATTAATTTGTAGATTAATAAACAGCATTGCAAACCTCTGCGGTATGAATAATTATTCTTAGTTAAATAGCGTCTTATCAACTATAAAATATAATACACAAAAAAATGCGATTTAAATTAAACAAAATTATTAAACTTTGTTTATTTTTTAAATATAGTTAATTACAACAGTTTACATAAACTCTAAAAAAATAAATATAGTCACTTTATCACCTCTACTTTTACTTCCTTGTCGTAAATACGGAAAGTATTATATTATAATAGTGTAAAACTCAACAATTTTATTTCTTAATAACTCCAATTTACACGACTAACTATACAGCAATTATGTACAGAATAATTCCGACTCGACTGGAATGGATTTAACTAAACTCCTCCCATTGTCTGGACTACACTAACTGGTCCCGATAGTGGTTCCTCTTCAAACAGCCGCGCGGTCCTTCTCGAAGGTCTCCGTCACTGCTTCTAGGCTTGTTCTCGAACACGCGTCGCGACATTCGCTTCCAGGCTCTTCTCTGGCCGCTGTCACCGACAATAAGTCATCATGGCCGTACATACCAGAAACCATAGGCGTCGTACCGAGGCGACGTATGGGTTTATTTCGTAACAATATATTTCTCGACGTTTCATCACCCCTAGAGTATAAACCACCCGTTCTATATAACGTCTAGCGTTTGTGGTCTGCTGGGGATTTTATTAGACAGATAAACTCCAAAACAACTAGATTAATTGCTCTACAATCTTATATTCAGATACTTTATCAATATCGTGTAGGTCGTAAAACCCTAACCAAAATTTGTATGATGACCCTCAAATCTGATATTGTATTTTTTCTAAGAAACTGGATTTGTTTTATTATTTTATTTTAGGAACAAGGGAAATTCTGGGATCAGTTTTTTAACTTGTAATACCTATACAGTAAACAGTTAAGAAATACATATTAGATCATATAGTGAAAAACTCAGACAGGTAGGTATTCGTGAGAATTATTTTAATTTTTGAAAAGTTTTCCAATTTTTAGTGAAATTAATTACATAATTACTTCCAGTTAAAATTAAAAATAAAGCATTGTGTCTGTCTGAGTTCCATAAATTAGAAAAGCGGGTTCTTCTAATATTATCATATGTTTATTTTTCTACAGCTGTCGACAGCAAAAGTAATAAACAGGAGAATTTTAAATCTTTGGAAAGCAACATTTTAAAATGTATAAACTTATTGAATTTTAATTGACAATAAAATTATACATGTTTAACGCAATGATAAAAAGAATGTTGTTATTCAATTTATATATTAACTATTAAAAACAAAACACTAGGCATACCTATAAACAAAATAATGAGATTCAATGTACGGCTGCACCTAACAGAATGTAAATATTCTTGTTCTTTCTTAATTTAAATGTTATTTTTAATTATAATAATTACTTTAATTATAGTTTTAAAACAAACTTTAACATTTTGTTAATAATGTGTTTTTTATAAATTAGCTACAAAACTTAAAGAATGAGTAGTTTTTTTTTTTATTTTTAAAATTATTTATTATTATTGTAATACACGATCTCGTGAAAAAATATTAATGCATGAAAAAAATTATTTTATTAATTTCATTAACTAATTTTCCCGAAATGCTGGGGATATACACAGTTAGTTGTTGGAGTTACAGTGTATGTAATAAAAACTACGAAAACTTAATAAATAAATCTTTATTGAAAAAAAATAGTCTAAGTCTATCTAGAGAGAACTTTCCTCATATCTGAAGTATAACCCAACAAATCCGGCTTCTTCGAAAAATTATAAAGTTTAATTTTATGCATAAACCACAAAGGTGGGGATGATTAAATCAATTTTTACTGGTGCTGTGTCACCTACACCATATTCCAAAAGTACACATAAAATTAACAACAATCAATCCAGTAGTTTCCGAAATTAGCTGTCTAATAAAAATCAACACAGACGATACACAGATGGAAACGCGAGATCTACTTTTTCATACTCTATCATGAGAAAACATGAAATTGCCCGTTCGCCAGGTGGGCCTTATTAGAATATGTACTTCCTTAGCTTACGTTCGGAAAGTATAATTGTACAAATCCCGTAAAGGACATAATGTTGTGTCCCAATTTTATAATTAAACTTCGCGCCGGAAGAAATGTTCCCACAACGTAGGCAATCACCCATGTTTTAGCGCGTTATAGGTTGGTATATAGCCCCTACAAATACGTAATAATAGTGTGTTTTCTAGGAGCTATAGGTTGGTAGTTTAGGGAGTTGGAATGTAGAGTCCAGATGAAAATTATATTTTAAAAAATATTTAGGGGAGATCGTAGATCGAAGGTGTTCAAGTTATCTTTGACGATACAATCATAACAAGGGAAAATAAAGATGAACATGATAAAATTCTGCAAACATTGGGTTTTTTATGATGGGATTGATTTTGCCAGAAATAATGGGATCACGTTATTAACTCTTCCGCCACACTGCAGCAATAAACTGCAGCCCCTTGATGTTGCAGTTTATTCCTCCTTCAAACCTCGATACAATACAGCTATGAACAACTGGATGTTATCCAATCCAGGCAAAACAATTACAATTTACAATATACGACTGGATTCACTAAAACAATTATGTCTCACGCATTCAGCCAAAGCAACATATTAACTGGATTCCAGAAAGCTGACATTATTCCGTTTAATCCAGAAGTCTTTAGTGACGATGATTTTTTGTCTTCTGCTGTCACAGATAGAGATTTGCCTCAAGAGCAAACATTAACAAGCGCACCAATGCGTTTAGAAACTCAGCTTGTGTTCTCCGCCGAACTCGAGGAATCTCTGGAGTCATTGAATGCTGGCCCGTCGATCCAGAATATACAAGACAGTGCCTTCTTCTGCTCTTACGGAATCAACACAGAAAAATACAGCTAACCAGTGCACTTCACCAATCCAATCTTCTTCAAATGTTAAAATAGTGACTCCGGAAATGGTGAGACCATTTCGGAGAGCGCCGCCAAGAAGGATGGCTCGACGAGGCCGTCAGCCCGGCAAGACAAAGATATTAACAATGACTCCTGAGAAGGAAAATGGCAGCAGTGAATGTCTCACAGAAACTCCAAACAGCAAAAAGTCCAACCTTAATAACGACACATGTGCTGTTATGAAGAATGATGTGATAAGAAAACAAAAAATAAATAATATTAAGAAAAGAGTTTTTGAGAAAAGTGACACCGAATCAGTAAATGAAAATTCTACAAATAAAAAACTAAGAAGACTTAAGGAAAAACTACAGGAAAGAAAATGATAAAGACCAAACAAAATTCAAAACAAAAAGACGAGAGAAACAAAACCAGAAAAGGAAAAAAAAAAGGTAAAATTAAGAACGATAACAGTAAAACGGAGTGTCAAGACGAAGATATTTCGTACGATAATAGTTCCACTGATAATGATTTTGAAGAAAATCCTGACGATCCTTAGTACTGCTTTGTTTGGCAATTAGAAAAAATTATGACTATGCGTCTATGGCCTTTATGCCGTAGATACGTCCTTGAGATATGTGTAGGGCACGGTTGTATAATGATAGGTTTGTACACTAATGGCTTGGGATGGCGACGCTTCTTTTCGATCCCTATATCCATGGAAAGGACACATACAGCTAGCTCTACCTTGTCGAGCGGAAATCGTTCTAGTTATTTTGGGGATTTTCGTTTACATTGCTTTATGAACAATACAAAATTTGTAAATGACATTTGATCGGAGTCGATAAGTACGATTTCTTTTATTAATTACATCGGTTATAGACAGATGCCTATAGAGTTCAGTGTCCCTAAAACGTCAAAAACCAGGCGACGCGATCGGCAATTGGCGTCGCTGACCAGGGATATGCAAATGTATGCTAGTGTATCAATCAACCTATCTATTCTACAACCGTGGTGTAGGGCTTACAAAAGATATCGATGATTTCATTTGTCACGAATCTGAACAGAATTCGTTTTTTAAACTACCTTGTGGACTTAACGTAATTACTGAGACTGATCGATAATGCCAAATTATTAGAAAAAGTTATTAGTTTAAAAAGACCAACTAGTGTGATTATTAAAATGTTTAATTTTGTTAACCTGCTGCAAATGTTTGAGAATTTAGTTAACTTTGGAATGTTTAGAAGTATTGTTAGTTTTTCGCTTTTTTCCTTATAAGAAGTACTAGCACTAACTTCGTCTTGTGATATTTAGGTCAATATAAATTCGTGATTCAAACTTAAAATGTTTTTCCCTTCCCAAAAAAAAGAATGTCAACTCTCCCCAAACCCTGGTTCAACAAATGTCTCTGATGGTGGGGAGATCTGACTCATATCTTATTTTTTATTAAAATCCTTATATCTTTTTGCAGTATTACCATATTCAAAAAGTAATGACGCCAAATTATGCCTGCATAACAAAGCTATCGCTTAAAATCCCAGTCATATTTCTATACCTTATTTATAGGAAATTGTGATGATTTAAATAAAAAGCGGTTCAAGTCTCCCGGACTCCCCTACTTCATGGGGAGACTACGCAATAAACGCATAGTTTATTCCAATAGCTGATGTATATATAATATGGCGCAGATTTTTTGGGTATAGAAATATGAAGTGCGTTTTGTACCTACCTCTATAGAGTTACTTCAATTCAGTTTTCTCTTTTCAGAATGAAGAAATAAACGATTTTTGTCTTCCATATTTTGTGTTTGATTTAGGGGCACTTTTCCAACCTTGTGGTTCTCTACTTTGCATTTGAACGCATTCCGTCATAAAAACACACACACAACGTAGGGTTCCACTTTCTTTGACAATCACAAGTCAAAGCCAAATTTTGAACATTTCGCGGTTTTTAAAATGTTTTTCATTATCAGTATCACAGTCAGAATGCTTTGGTAAGAAATGGAAAAGAGTAGGAGCCGGCGAAAGTCATAAGAGATTATACAGCCTGTTACAGAAAAAAGTACAATAAATTTAACCACGAACAGAACTCGTCAACAGAAAACATTTTTCTATTTGGCATTTTTTCAAAAACGAATTTTTTTATCACAGTTTTACCCCCCCATTATTTAACGAGCCGTCCACGCATTTCTTCAATTGTTGACCGTGAATTTCACTTTCGATGCATCAGGTGGAAAGTGTTTGTTTTTACCCAATTTTTTGGCGAGTTGGTTAGCGATAACGTTTTATCAGCTTCAAAACAGTTAGTTCCTTTTCGACTTTTCTTTGTGGTGTTTTTACTTTTCGTTGTGTGAAGTTATGCCCCGCTATTCGAAAAGTGAATACACGAATATGGTGCTAGTGTATGGAGAAGCCCAGGGAAATGCAGTGCAAAGTGCAAGCATAAAGAATTTTGATATTTTTGAAATTTTGCGGGAACAAGTGATACGTGCTGCTGAAACAATTCGAAACAATGAAATTATGTTACAAAGAGTCAAAGATTCATTTCGTCGCCGCCTTTAGTGTTGTCTAGACAATAATGGTGGCTACTTTGAACATTTATTATGAAGTTTTTGGCGATTTCAAGGTAGGTCTCCATTACCTATTACAGTCTTGCATTCAAATGTTTACATTTTTTATTCCGTGTTGTGTTCATTTCTTATCCCTCTCCGCAAGAAACTGCTTTGTTAGCTAGCCATGGGCGGGTAGGTGAATTTGTATTAACTCTTTGACTAATTTTAACTCAATCACGAAAGGGTTTACGAGAAAATGTTATTTACAAATTTAATTGCTTTGAATTAGTTCTATTACCAGTTAAAATTAATGTACTTTTTTCTGTAACAGGCTGTATACTGTATAGACTGAGACGGTCGAATGAATATTAGTGAAGGAAGAGAAGAGACTTAATGACGATTTCCCTTTTTTTGTGGGATTAAATTTGTGATGTTCAAATGTTTGTATTGGTTTGTAAAATTTCATTTTTGAAAGCTTGGGGGGTTTTTGCAGCTGGGTGAATGAATAATCAGTTTTTCAGACCTGTTTCACAGCTTCCCTCGCCACGACCACGAAGAAGGAACAAACGATTTGCCCTTCATATTTTGCCTTTTGATTTAAGGTCACTTTTCCAACCTTGGGGCTTGAGGCCCACTACATTGCATTTGAACGCATTCCACCATTAAAAATACACAACGTAGGTTGCCATCTTTGTAAATGACATTGTAAATGATCACAACTCAAGGCCAAATTTTTATTTTTTCGCGGGTTGTATAACTTTTTGTATCTACGTTTCAATTTGGTGGGGTGTTTGGAGCACCCTGGGAGTACCACAATATTTCTATGTATCTTTTAAACTATGCACCAAAAAAATATAACTTTTCCGACAACCGGATATTTTTAAATTTGTTCTTTAAATAGTAACACTCCAGTATCTACAAATACTTTTTTTTTGGGTATGGTTCAAATATTTCGTCTGCATACAACGATATTAACCTACTCAAAATTTCATCAGTTATAAACTGAAATGTTTCTGCTTATTTTGATATACAGTTGGTACCAGTTTGAATTTAATCTGATATTTAAAACATATACTTTCAACAGAACGATGAGATCGTAGGTATTACCTCTGGTATTAGTTCAATCAGTAATAACAATTTAGTTTCATAAAATACTAAACTAATTATAAAATTTATAGAATGACTGTTTTCTTCGCCTTTTCGGGCCCGTAGGGTACCGGAAACGCCACAAAACACACATAAAAAGCTTGAATAGTAGGTAGTTAGCATTCCTGAAGTTTTGTAACAAATTTCCACTTCTGTTTTTACGAAGGTTAAAAATATTACCTTATAGATTTTGACCATCGGTTCTCAGTCTTATTTTTTTAATTTTACATTCTGAGTTCAAGCGACTACCTCTGTTCGTGTAATTTTTCATGTTCATTACTATTTAATGCAAAGAATAAAGGGTGGGAGCAGTTAAGAAATCTCCAGTTAAAACTTTTCCACAGTACAAAAGCCGCAAATGTTAACACTATTTTGAACCAACAGTTACGTTTATTCTGAAGTTTATCATACTACAGAAAAGATTTGACCTCTCGCAGGAACACTTCATTTAAATAATCTAACGCCTCGTTTATAGTTGAAAAATAGATTTTAGAATGTATTAAGAACAAGTTAAATATTTAATCACTATAACAAATTTTAATACTTAAAATAAGTTAGATAAATCCACATCACTTAATTGTTAAAATGTAAAAAATTAATTACAACATAAATTACAGTCAAAGAGCATTAAATAAATGCAAAATACAAGAGTTAAGAATACGATTAATCAAGAGTCGCACAAATAAATAAAATGACCTGAGATTCTTTCTTGTTCGCACAATTTACAATTACCTACTATTTTTATGTTTTACATAAGGTTTATTGAACCTATCATGCTTTTTTACTATCGTTTTTGTTTTTAATGTATTACAATTGGTAACTCCTTGTTTATTGTACTGAAACTGTGTAATAACAGATGGCTTAGTAGCGACTGTATCGTTAATCTTGAGCTCATCTTCAGCCTTCTTCTCCATTAATTTTAATTTTGCTTCTATCGCTTGAATCTGAGATTCTCTGTCTGCTTTCTTTTCATTTTTGGACATCGCTAAAGCTGGAATATTTATTTCGGGTCGGGGCTTCTCTACATCCTCCTTAAATTCACGTGAAATTAATCTCCAACTATATATACAGCAACAAAAACAAACTTACGTTATTTATACTATGTGCCCACGTAACCATAATACTTCTTTGGCCTACTAATACATTATTGAGTAAATCTTTAGCACGAACAGCATCATCCTTATTTATATATGTAACAAAAGCATAACCTCGTGGTTGGCCAGCTAAGGGTCCGGTTCGATGAAACAATAAATCAAATTTTTCAATGGCACCATGTTTTTGCACGAGTTTCAAAAGGTGATACCAGTAAAAGAAAGTATGCGTAAGTTTAACATTCAAACCAACTACTACATCAGCAATGCATAAAAGATACTTACTCGGTGACCCTTGGATCGAGATTTCCTATCCATAGTCGCCTTTCTTCTGTAGTTTGATCTTTTTTGGCTTCTTCCATTGTAAAACTAAAAAAAATGAGGTTATGTACAGAAAAATCGATATTAGTCCCGTACGCTTACCCTTTGGTATAGGAATGCTGTTACTTCTAGAAATAGATCTACATTTAAATACTGTGTTTAATGTTTCCGTAGCAGTGATGAAACACTGCTATTTATAATTCTGTTCAAAACATTTGCCATTATTATTTTACAATTTGACAGACATTAAGCAACCAAATTTGACAGTTGGTGACAAAACGAATACAAAACATCAAATTATTAAATTAAAATTTACTAAACGGAGCAGTGGTTGCACTGGAATTATTTCGCGCGGTTGTTTTTAAATAGGACACAACAAAACAAGCACGAGGAAACTTTCAAGTCTTTCTTTTTAACGCACATAAATTTTCTGCATGCATGAACACTGATTTTTTTTGCTGTCTAGTTTGGCTTCTGGAGTATAGGTAGAATAAAAATGCAGATTACTAAATTCTTTATGCATACTCTTCTTCAATATGTTCGCGTACGACATATTTTCAACTATACAACCAAAATAATACGTTTATCAATTTTCTTCACCGTAGAAATACTCCACTGTATTATCTGTTCAAAACTTAAAAAACCCCTCAACCATGGCCCATTCTACCTCCATGCCACTGTCAACCGACAATATTGTCTAGGCTAGGGAGATTTTTGGTGTCAAGATGTGCTGTCAAAAAAATTGAAGCTTGGACGATGTTGCATCCGCACAACATTTTTCTCTGCTTACCTACAGATGAATATGATTTTTATTCAAAACACCTGGTTTTTGAAAGATTATAATTGTTATTTCCAGTTAATTTGGCACAAACAACTTCAACGGTTTCGTATTTCAAAATTTGTCATTTTATACAAACGAGTTTTAAAAATAAATGTCGATCAAATGAAATTAATGTTTTATATTTTACAATAAAAACTTATACATATAAGTGTTTCATACCAGTGAAAAAGTTGTTACCTACAGGTCTTCGGCTCTTTGATTTGCTAACAAAAATGGTCAAAAAATATGTGTTTCAAACGCGACGAAAAAATACTTTTTAAATTATAACTGATTTTATAAAAATTGGCCCAAAGTTATTTAGACAGAACTTCCCTCTCCCTTGAACTATAGTCAAAGGAATCCAATTTATCAGAGAAACTTTAATATTGGATTTTGAGAATTTTATTTTTTGATAATAACCCATATAAGCTAAAATAATATACGTGAACTGTCACATTATAGGTAAAGAAACATGCCATGCACATGTTTTAAGTGAGTTTTTTATGGTAAAATCTTGTGATGATTAAGAAAAACGACAAAAATGCAACATACAAATTCGTCGAAGATTATTTCTTCAACGGAACTTCCCTCGCCCTTGAAGTGCAGCCAAATAAATCCCAGTTATCTGAAAAATTATCTTTTTTTTTGCGATTTCGGTTTTCTGATAACCTCTATAAAGTAAAAACCAGTGGCGTAAATAACGTTCCCGTAGCTTATTTGACTTGAATTTTTTCTTCGATTTTTTATTTTCTCTTCAAGTTTTCCGATTTTCCAACTTTTGGACGTTTTAATTTTTAGATTTTACAGTTTTTTGATTTGAAATTTCACGAGTTTTCGATTTTTAATTTTTCAATTTTTCATTTCTTCAGTTTTTCGAGAAAAACGAGAAAGTACAAGATTGCCTTTATGTTTTCTATTATAATATCTTTTGTTCATTGCGGCAAAAATTTGTTGAAAGAAAACTATGTGTATATATATATAAAGAAACAAAGATTAAGCCCCACCCACCCACCCGGATCTCAATTGTGAAGAGTTTTTAATTCCTAATCAGATCAAAGGGCGGTGTTTAATTGTAACATAAATATTTCTCTAAAAAATTGTACCCCTTTAAAAATATATTTCATATGGCAAGAAACGAGGATTTTGCAACTAAACTCCGTCCTTCTGCACACGATGAATAAAATATTCATCACAATTGACCAGTAAAGTGAATGACGCGCGAAATTTGAACTCAGTTCATAACACGAGACCCGTATTTCAGTTCCCCGTGTAATCCTTATGGGTGAAATCGAGGCGTCACTTTAACGCTTAAATTGTACCATTAAAGTAATTTTCTTATATATCCCACTACCTGTACCATTAAGACTGATATTTTTACTGTTGATCTTGATACCAAACATGAACGGAACCGGTAGTATTTAATAAATATTTAAATTCAACTTTTACCACTACATTTGCCTCGAACGTATGTCGTACAGTGGTTCATACTGCCATTGACTTCCCCCTCCACATAAACGGCTTTGATTTTCAGATGCTACAGATACGGCTGTGAATTTAAAATAACACATAAAGGAGATCTCATATTTGCAAATGTTTTCAATCAATTGCCAAATTTTGATTTAAGAATCATCATCAATCCCAAGCTTTTTTCTTTTCACACATTTTTGCTAGAAAAGGAAAAACTTAGCATTCCTGATTAAACCTTTCATGTACAAGTAAAAATCACTCTCATTTTAGTACGAATTGGGTCTGAAACACCCATTAAAAAAAAAATCACAATTTAAAGAACAATTTATTTCAAAACAAAAAAAAAGTATTTTACAATAAAAAATTGCACTTCCTAATGCAAAATCTGATTCACTTTTGGTGAAAAACTGACCCACAAACTGTTTTCTTGATGGGCCATTAAAATAGTCCTCGGACACTAATAGTTCTTCGACACTGTGAAGTAGATTTTCTTCAGATCTTTCTAGTTCAGGGCCCAATAGCAAAAGCAGTGCTTCGCTCCTATCAGTTTGTCCTAAGCTTTCATGAAGTTGTACCTCAACATTAGCTGTTTTTAGGCTGACTTGGGGATTAAAAGAATTTTCAGAGACAACAGCTCGGACCTCAGCTGATTCACTTTTCTTCAGATGTACGTCTCAAGCACGCAAATTATTGGTCCACAATACATTATAACGTCCGTGTAGGGCAGGTGTAGCCATATGATGATATACAAATGCACCTCTTGGGGTTTCACATGTTGCCTCTCTTAAGGAATATCTATGCATAATAAAACAAAATACGTCATAATTTTACTTGACACAGAATTTATCAATATACATTAACTTACCATAATCTTCTCGCATTCTAGCTCGAATAAACTCTTCAAGCACATTTAATTCAGTATACCAATTGACTTTCGCTACATTATTTGACTGTAAAGAATTTTCTCCAACAAAAAAAAATGGCAATTGCCCCTATTGTTAACACATGTCTTTCTGTCATTATTAATAACAAATACAAAAAAACCAGTCCACAGATACATACAACCCAATGTGAATCAATATCACAGAACTAATATATCATCCAAAAATTGTGATTATGATTGTTTGTTGTGATGAAAATACGAAATCAACTGTCATATTTTGGGGATTTTCACGATCTAAACGTCACTAGTACCGCAAAATATTCGCGTTCTTTTTCTTTCCCAAGTGTTTCTGGATTTTCCGTTTCACTCATGCGCAAGACGTTAGAAACGATGTACGTTACTTCGATGGATAGCGTTGTTTTTAATTTGCAATATATCTTTAACAGAAGCTTTTTATATAGTTAAACCTTTAGTAACAGGAAGATAATTGTACAGTCTTTATCGCTTGTAGCATGAACTAGTTAAGATTTCTACCTATGCGGCGTATTTTGTCTGTAAAATCAAGCTCCCATAAGAAACCCATAGTAGAATTTTTGAATTATGAACTGTCGCGCATTCTAAATTCTAACCTTACTTTACTGGTCAATTGAGAAGGGGTGGGTGGGCGGGGTTTATATTTGGTCCATTTTTTCTTAATATACGACGTCTTCTTTTCCCAACAAGAAACTGAAAACATGTTTAACTACCCTGTTCTTAAAAGAAACCTGTATACCTATATTAAAAAAAAATCTGCCCATCCACCCGCCCCCCTCTTAATTGTGAGTATATTTCTCAAAAAAATCTACCCTTTTAAAAACATATTTCATATGGTAATTTTTTGCAGAGAAACGAGGATTTTGCAATTAAACTCCGTCCTTTAGCACACAATGAATAAAATATTCATTACAATTGAGAAGGGGTGGGTGGGCGGGGCTTATATTTGGTCCATTTTTTCTTAATATACGAAGTCTTCTTTTCCCAACAAGAAAGTGACAATATGTTTAACTGTCCTGTTGTTAAAAGAAAACTATATATTAAAAAAAAAAATCTCAATTGTGATTATATTTCTCTAAAGAATTGATATCAGATAAAGTTAACTGAACTGAATTGTTAACGGCTAAGAGTACACCGCCACCTGTAGAAACACCAGTTAATTTCAAATTTCTATCAGTGAGATAAACAGAAAAATGAAAAATGAGTGCGAAAAAGTTCATCAGAGAGTAGACCATCAGTAACCCATGTCTCAGTTAACACTATTAGATCAAAATCAGATGATCAGGCGTTATTATAGAAATTTACACATTTTGAACGTAAGTCTCTCACATTTTGGTAAGTGCAGTGAAGCAAGTTATTAACTGGGCGTATTACTTAGTTTAAGCGTGCGATGGATGGGACACCGTTGTAATATTTTATTTTCAGATTTTTTGATAAAACAGATACCTAACTATGCATCACCTACAGAAATGTAAAAAATGATCTAAAGTTGTTTAGACAGAACTTCCCACGCCCTTGACGTATACAGTCAGTTAAACAAGTCCAGTTTAATTAATTCTGTTAATTTTATTTTTGTTATGACAGTCCCTATATTAAAATAAAAAGTGGGTTATTAAACTGCAGATAAAAGCGCATGTTTCAAGTATGTAGTAAATTACAAAAAATTCGATTTTGTAGTTTTTACGTAAAATTGTAACATGTTTTTTTTTTTCAAAAAAACTACACGAGCAATTAAAATAGATTGGATTAATAAACTACAGGTACACAAAGAATCATATTAATTCGCAAATTTTATACATGATTTATTTATCAAATTTTAAGATGACGTAATTACATTTTTCATGGGATGAACAAACATATTATGGTTAGTGTTTTGCCATCTACACATTATTTAAAATACTCCTCGATTTTTTCTGAAAATTATCTCTCTAATAAAGTAGCCAACAGACCTCATCAATATTTTGTCATTACTAAAGATATACCATACATAAGAAGTAATGTACAATGTGACACTAATCATAAGGTTACAGTATTTTTCAAAGTTTTTAGTAAATTACCAATTGTATGCACATAATAACGAAAAATAAAAGGACATGTGTTACTGAGGCACATGCAGTCTCACATCTAGTATCCAATGATAATTTCACCTCGAAAATGCTCGTATCATGATGAGTAATGATTTTTACTGAATTTAAAAAACAACGAAATACAACGAATAAACATTATTTGAAACTCTATTGTGTAAACTAGCGATTGTTGAACGAAAAAATTACCATTTTAACCATATAGCGACAATAATTAGGACTGAACTCGGCTATTATGCACAAACTTTTTTTTAAATCGAATTTGTTTTCGGGTTTTGGTAAGTAAACTTATGTTATCGCATGCAAAAGAAAAATGTACAGGATTTACTGGATAAAACTCCACGACCTTATATGTTGAAAACGGATACTGATATTTAAATCCTTTAAACTCCATTGTTTTTAGCTTGAAGAGAAAAATTTAATTTCGTATATTGCAAAAATAATAAATACATACTTATATCGAGACACAAATATTTTTGGAAATTGCAATGTATATCTATTTTCAACTGATTTAGCAGCAACTACTAGATATTAGTTACATCTTTTCATTTAAAGAATTTATATTATTTACAGTTAAAACTAACACTAATGCTAATAATATAAGTGTTTTATAATATATCTACTCATTTATACAGCGTGTTATTGAAAGGTACGTACAAAATAAAATCGGCAATTGGACTCGAAGTATGAGCGTTAAAAGTAAAAAAAAGTTCAAGTAAAAGCGTTCTCCTTTTAAAGATAAAAATTATTTAAATTTATGTCCAAATGCGTTGTACGCCTGTGATAAAAAGATCATCTTTCGTTTCTATAGCAACATTTAGTCTTGACAAAAGTTTTATTGTGACAGTTGCTAGGATTTACTAAAATAAATTAATTTTACCTATTTATCCTTCAGTAGCGCCTAAAAAGGTTGGATAAGGGTTAATGTAGATTACGTTAATTTGTACCCCTACTGGGAATCTCATTAAGCCTGTAAGGCAAATAATAAATTAATACTACTACCTTTTAATAACACCCTGTACTTATGCATACCTGTAAAAAATAAAGGAATTGGTAAAAAAAATCAAATGCAATAGAAATTTTAAGAAAATTTCCGTTGTGATTAAACACTTATTACAACACAAGTAATGGTTTTAGTTTGTAGTATCTATATAACATAAAAAAATCTCTGATAGCGAAATATTATAAATAATTGATTATTATTACAGTATACTTGATGAAACGTAGCACTCTGTTGCCATTATTTGAGTTATTTCATCAACAAAAAACCACGATATTGTTGTGATTTTTGGAATTTGGAAACATTTACGTACACAGAATAATAACAAACCAAAAAGAATAACGTCATTTCGTGATTTACTATAATCAAATCATAAAAAATCTTTCATCACACACAATTCCAACCCAAACACACGTACGAAATACTATGAATTAACAAATTTTGATAACGTTTAGCACATTCAAAAGGCAACTCGACAAAGATCTTTCATCATACCAATCGACTGACTATTTAAACCGCCCGTCCGTTCGACGATTAATCATTCACCGGTTGAATTCGATAAGTGTAACAGTGAGGTACAAAAAGTGTGCACATATCTAGTGTCTTAATTTTTGTGTTTGAAAACTACAAAATGGCAAAAATCTCTTCAGTTTTAAACTCCAATTTTTTTTCGTCGACCTTGGCTACTGTTAGCTACAGTACTCCTGCTAAGGTTTCACCGGAAGATCCGGAGGAGCGTTTTATAACACTCGCTGAAGTTTCTTGGCATGACAACGCTAGTGATTGTTGGATAATAATCTACGATAAAGTGTACGATGTCACTGACTTTTTAGACGAGGTAAATAGTATTTAAAAATATTTTAAATGATTGTTGTTCTCACTTTGTTTTAACAACTATTTCGGCAGAGTAATTAAATTTAAGCAAACTAATTTTGTTTACCATTAATAATTTTATAACTATTTTTTCTACTAAAGTAGTTTGTTGTAAAAATTCATTTTAAAATCCTCACTCTTGATGACAATTTAATTTTTCCCTTTTAAGTATTTCTCCGTCCAAAATTACCCAACTCCATCTCGGAATTTTTGTTGCCTAGGAAATTTACTCGAAATTATCAATTAATACAAGTTAAATTGCTTCACATGCCTACGTATAATGATCACGTTATTACCCAATATTTCCAAACTTTTAATAAAAGATAAATCGCCTGCATTTGATAACAACAACAAATAAAAAAAATGTTTCTTGTTTACAGCATCCGGGTGGAAGTGACATATTACTGGAATGTGCTGGTCGTGATGCCAGTGTAGCCTTTCGAGGTTCTGGACACAGTTCCCAAGCCATGAGAGCCCTTGACAGGTTCCTGATTGGTGAACTTCCGCTTCATGAGAGGATATTCAGAAAGCCTGGAGGATACCACTTAAGCGATATTCCGGCTTAGAAAAGTCAACAAATCAAAAATCAGCCACATTTTGAATGTTAGGCAACCTTATTTTTATCTATGTATTTATTTTATTTAATGACAGTAGAAATAATTAAGATAAGTATGCTATCAGTATTTAAATTTATGTTTGTTGTAAGTATTTAAATGCTACCTCTGTAAATTTTCATTCAGTATTTGAATCAAAATATATAGCACCGATATCATTTTTCTTTTTTTAATTAATACCTTTAATAATTACGCCTTAAAATAAACTAAAAAGGGTGAAAAGATATAACAGTATAGAACAACGGCCAATATAAAAACAATGTAATCTCTGAAACTCGATTCTTACGTACTTTCAATAAGCTTATAATCGATAGGGATAAACTAGTGTCCACTCCCGTAATGCTGTTAGCCAGGTGTTAATACCAACAAAATGTGCTAAGGTGAAAGGTCACTAACCGTAATTTTAAGAATCTTGTATTTTTAATTTAGTTACATTTTAAAAAGTGAAAATTAACACATAGATGACACAAAATGATAACCTAAACAACAGAACATAAATTAAATGGTAATGTTAAACATAGTAAAAAAATTTGATGTATTCGCCAAATCATGCACTATTGCAAAATTAGTTTTTTTCCATTTTAAATTGACAACTACTTATATAAAAATATAATCGAAAAATTGAGACATATCTGAAGATATTATAATGTGGTGGAAGTTGTTAAAATCACTATGTGCCTTTCAATTGGCTGATAAAAATATTAACCAATTAGCCACCTCGATATCATGCAGGAAAAAAATGTGATTATCACATTACTTAACATAACAAGATAAATTCATACACTGAGTTTAAAAATATTTATTAAAATCAGTAAACACAAATTGAAAATTTAAGATTAAACAAAACTGAAAGATTACTAGGTTCAAAATTATATGGTAACAGGAACAGGGGAAATTATTGTCAAAGCTAATCTGTTTTATTTATTTATTGAAGATGATGACAACTCACCGCATGACTTACTATACTCCTAAGTACGAATATGTAATAATCAATTTTGTCTACGTCAAATATTCATGTTTTAAAATGTACATTCCCATATTTTTTTTTGTTGGATTGTAAAATTTTATTACAACTCGTTTCTAAGTTAAAAATTATCTTAATGATAACGATGAACTTAGTACAGTTATATTAACCTGCGAATGCTGGTTTTATTTTTCTCAAGAGTAATCTTAAATCACCACTATTAGCAATATGTTTCTTTTTTGTTACTTGCAACAGATATCTTCATTATGTTTTTCTAAATGATTCTACTAAATTTGGCAACTAACTGCATTATCCTCCCAATTTTGTCTGTACAGAAAAAGTTTTGCCACAAAAATGTAGAAAATACAATGTGTTTAAGTATTTTTTGAAAAAAAAAAAAATATGTACATATGTCATACGATTTGTTTTTATTAAATTCAGTTCACCTTGGAGTTGCCGCTTTACCTAAATGAATTTGTTAAACCTGTGCATCAAATACGTTATTTTTTGAATAACTAAAATTTGCTAGTAAAACATCATCTTCATCTTCTAAGAACTACTAACTACAGCATTGCAGCGAAGAGTGTACAAAATGGAGTCAAATTAACATTTTTTGACAATTTTTTGAACTTTCATATGAAGTAACAAGCGATTTAACTCCTGGCTATTTTCATAATCAAGTTGTGTAAACAATCTGTTCCTTAACGAATAATGAATAAATAATAATAATAACATAATCTAATGATTTATACAGCCGTTGTCAAATTATTTTCCCCATTTTTACTTGCCAATATCAGAAATGAAATACTGTATGCTCAGTTGATATGTACCTAGTTAAACTTTTATGACCCTTATAAATCAAACTGGCTAATACATATAAACTGCAACAAACAAATTTTCTGGTACATATATACCAGAAAAACCCAAACAGATGTTCAGAAATTCTTGGACTTTTGCCAAATAGAAATCATAAATAAATATTATTGACCTCTAATAAACCATTTACGGCGACTTGCAAGAAGTACTATCTATGACAATACAGACCTAATTTCTGATTTTACGAGTATTTTAGGAAAAGAGGCATGAGTTTCGATTTTTCAACTTATAAGTAAAAGTAAAACATATACAAATATGTATACTCAAACCAACAAAATATGCAATGTATCGTCAAAATATGCAAAATATACAATAATTAAACTAAGTAAATCAATTTAAAAAAGGACAATTCAAATATATACGCAAGTATTTTGACGTTTCATAGTTAAAATTTTTATTCAAAGTGAAACATAAAACGTCGAATTCCAGGGGGTATTACTTGATGTTTACTGCCCTCGGGCTAAAGTCCTGGTCCCTGCAAATAAATAATAAAGCATAACATAAATACCTAATTATAGAAAACTTCAAGCATTTCTTAAAAGCTAATCTTCTGAATATAAAACATCAAAAATTCAAAGACACTTACAGCAATAGAAATCAACAAGTTTGTAAAAGAAGCTCCTCTAATAATTAGTTTTTATATCTAGCTATACATGGCTTCTATAACTGACATATTTTTTTAATAAATAAAAATTTTCGATTAAAAGAAAGTACGTCGTAGAAAAAGTATGACACAATTCTGATAGTAAGCTAATTACGAAGTCGTATTATATCACTCGCTCGCTACGCTCGCTCATGTACAAACTTATCGTTCGGAATTAATTTCCTACTACCCTCCATTTGTAATATATTCTATACCTTACCCCACCACATTATTTCATGTAACGCCCCCAACTGAACCTCAGCTCTTGAAGTGTAATTTGTCCAGATAAGTTGTCAAAAACATAGATCTTAATCGAAATTGACCAACTACACTCATGAAAAGTTAAAGGAAATCCACTGAACTGAAAGTAATTCAAACGAAGTCAAAAAAAGTTACAAGGAGTCGAAAGAACACACGCGACACGAACAAAAAAATTACTAAAAGTCAAGTTATAGCAAATCCACTACCGAAAGGATGAGTTTTCTACAAAAAAACAGCGTAAGATTTGCTTCTCGGTCTGAGAAGCTAAATCAAAATTTGATAAAACTGTCAAAGTGGTTCACACCCATCGTGAATTCCTCGAGATGTGTGAGTCGACAACTTCGTTTGACGGTGTGACTGGTGACTTTGTTTGTGCTGTCCGGTTCGTTCTCTATTTTTGGGTTAATCCTGTTGTATAACTTTCTGGAAGACATCTTATAGCATTCTGGTGATACTGATAAGTTTAACATTGGTTTCAATTTTTTTTTTTGGGTAAGTACCTATTCTCTGGATTGCTAACCTCGATAACCAACTAATAGTGATAAAATCCGTCATTCCTTTTTGTGTGGTTTGATAGCGTACTTTTTTTATCTCTGTCGTCCCTGGGCAGTACCTACGGAAAGTTTAGCTTCTTGGATTTGTTAAGAATGAGTACCTAAAATATCCTTTAATTAACAAAACCAAGACTTGTGGTTCTTTTTCAATGAATCCAATAGTGATATAACTTTCAGCTCTGTTATTATTATAAGGATGTAGGTGGTGTTGTTGGTAATAATCAGTCAGATTCTAATAAGATCTCTCATTTTATACTAATTACACTTATTTACGCAGTTTTTAAGTAACGTCGATAACATCAGCAAAAGTACGAGGGTAATTTGATAAATTGTTAGCCTAAGTACTTTCTACCTCGAAAAATTCAAGCATTTCTGTGCACGACAATTTTGAAAAAGTCATGTCTAGTGAAAATATGGAAATCAGTAAAATTGAATACAGATCGATTATTATTATTAAGTACCTGTCTTTAAAGCGATTAACGGGTAAAGAAATTTACGATGATATGTCTAAAATACTTGGTAAAGTTTGTCCTTGTTACGCCACTGTTAAAAATTGGGTTGGTTTTTTCAAAAGAGGAAAGGTTTCGGTTGAAGATGTCGATAGACCAGGAAGACCGATTTCGGTATCCACTCCTGAAAATGTTGACGCAGTACACATTGTGATTTTGTCAGATCGCCAAATTTGTATAAAACAGATATCTGAGACACTAAAGATTTCCTGTGAACGTGTGAATCACGCCGATTTGGACATGAAATAAATTTCCGCAAAATGGATTCCAAAATGCTTCAGTGCCGATCAAAAGCGAGCAAGAGTGCCCTTTTTGATGAGGACTCTGATTTTTTGAACCATGTTATTATGATGGATGAAACCTGGCAGTATTTCTACGATCCAGAAACAAAACAGTCCTTGGAGACATTTTGGTTCTCCAAGGCCCAAGGAGTTTCGGGTGCAAAAATCTGACAGAAAAATACTAGCTTTAGTTTTTTGGGATTTGCGTGGGGTAATTAAGCTTGATTATATAGAGAAGGGCACATGCATAACAGGAGAATACTACTGAAGCCCTTTAACAACCCTGTGCGAAAAAATTGTGGAAACGAGGGGCAAAAAAGGGGTTCTGTTTTTGCGGGACAATTCTCCTGCACACAAATCGCGCATTTAATTGCAATGAATACAATTCATGATTTGGGGTTTAAAACACTTGACCAGCCTCCTTAATCTCCGGGCCTAGCTCCCTCGGATTATTATCTATTTCCTCAATTAAAAAAAACCTTGAAAGACCATAAATTTTCTTCATACAACGGGATAATAGGGGTTGTGGAGACTTGGTTTGAAGAGCAGGAAGAATATTTTTTAAGAGGGTTAGAAAAGTTGCAGGATCTCTGTTAACAAGTATATATTTGAAAGGGGACTAAGTACGTTGAATAAAAAAATATTTTGATTTTTAAATTGTTTTTTTTTATGGTAGGTTAAGAACTCATCAAATTACCCTCGTATCTCCTATACATCAGAACATCTGATGGTAACAAAGTTTCTCACTGTAAACAACAATTTAGACATTTTTTGTATAAGCTTTAAAACTTTTTTTCTCTTCCTTCTTTGTCTTTGTTATTTTAGCTTAGCTCGTCTGGGTATGACAGTAATTATTAGCTGTTATAAAAAGTTAGTCAAAGTAATACTTTATCATTTTTTGCTTTTTGTTTTTCCTTTCTTTTTCCCGTTGATTTATAAATGAATTTATTATCTATTATCTGCTGACCAATGGATGCAACACTAATAATAACAATTGTTTGACTCCAATTTAAACATAAAGTAAAGCACATTATGTAAAACCATGTTCTGTTTGGTCTTCTACTATACTTGTTCTTCTAGTACAAGTTCCGGTTTTACCCTGACAATGAATCGACAACGATAGAGTAGGTATATCTTTTTAACAAAATCACGAAAAATTCCAGATATGAGATCCCTCTCTTATTAGTGGAATTTGTCCCTGGATTAATTAATAATGAACTTAATTACCACGTGATAATTTACTATGTTATGTGACATACTATCGGCACGTAATTGCTGTTCGTCTAAAGGAATTTAGTAGGTCTTTTACAAGTAATTTATTCAACAAAGATAAGGCGCTTGGTAATAAGCCACCACCATTTAGTTACTAAGCCGTATAAATTAAATTAAAATTGATTAAATAGGGTCCAGATTGTAGGCATTTTTTGTCAATAATGTAAATAAATGAACCAACTTTTAATCAGCACCAAACAAGTGTTATAAATAATCAATGTTTCACTTTACATTTTTCCATGACTAGAAAAAGAACAATCAAAATGATTGCATTAACGTTGTTTTGCAATGCTATTATTAAAAGATGTCGCAATGAGACCTACGTAAATTATAAATTCTTTAAAAAAACCAAAGGGTTATATTGCTGACCTTGATTAATTTGCATAAACAATGACATCTGATTCGAATATGTTAAGATATTTGAAATATCAGTAGTTTCCTAATTTTGGTGGAGAAATATGTTTTTAAAGAATAAGTGTAGCACTTTAAACAAACAAGAATAAAATATAAACATGAGATAAATCTGTTACATATATCTGATCTTACCTAAGTCACAGAATAACGGTATTAATAAAAAAAAACTTAATTGTTATTTATAATGCCATACAACACCCACTTTTAAAAACGAAATTAAACATACTGTGGTGCGAAGACTTATTGAATTGTTATGTTCGCATTCTGTATTATGAATTTTAGTAAGTAACTATTTTGGTTTAAAGTCGAAAAATGTCGATTTACCTAACTTTAAAAAATATTAAATAGACTTATTAACTTCACCTGTCTATTACATTATTATTTTTCAATGAGAAAATTATATATTATTTTGTTTACTCCAGTTCCCTGGAAGTTTATAATAGGATGATTCTTATAGCATTGTTTTCATTTTCAAAATATTTGTCGGCAACCGTTATTACGAGTAATGTATATGTAATTTTTACTTTTATTATTCCAAGATGTAGTATCAATGAAATCAAGATTATAAAATTACAAGTTACGATATTTCTATACTTTGTGCTATCCCAAAGTTTCAATAACACGTTGAAAATCAATATCCATTTGCTGGTTTGCAACGTGAATCGACGTATTAAGTTATAATATTTTATATTTTTTATTATCGGTTATGACATTGATTGAACTAAATAATCGTACGTATTAAATTTATATTTAGGATTACTAACACCATATATTGTACTTTACTTTTTTACTTTAAAGACACTTTTTCACAGTTATACTAGATTCTTAAAAACAGGTACAATAATGTAAAAATCGTTAAAAAAAGCTTTCCTAATAGAAATTTACCAGGTGATTTTTGGTGATAACGACACCAATTTTGAGAATAAATGAACAAATCGTCTGACTTAACGTAATCCTCAAACAATGTTAACGTCCTGCCAAAATTCAAAGAAATCTATTACGCAGTTCCTGAGCTACAACGTAAAACTTGATAAATGGATGATTGAACCATATCACAGTAACGTGTTTCCTTGTGCATCCAAATTTAGATTTACTTAACAATAATTTAAGATAATTCGTAAATATTTTGAATGGGATGAACAGATACTTTCGAATCTGCACAATGACCTTAAGATACGTTTAAAATAGGAAGCGCATCAGTTTGGGAGTTGAGAGAATTATCAAAATTTACGAATTATAAAAGCATCACTGTTAAAGAAAATCTAAATTTTTCGTTCGATTCGGATTCTTCAGGGTACTTACATCTTAGGCCAACTATACCTGTCACACTCATATATAAACTAAAATATTATGAAAGCATTTAAATGTGATAGATAGGAAAATCTATGAAAATATATGTTCAATTATTTAATCCCTAATCAGTGAAGTTTCAGTTCTGAACTTTTGATCTCAAATCGGACAAATCTAGTTAATGCAGATATTTTGACAATGATTACGTAAAATTAATCATATTTACAAACTACAGTAGCATATTTTTAACAATATCGTTTGTTATCTTCCGAAGAAACATTGAGATAAGTAGGTAACAACTTTTAACAACTACGTAAAGTTGGTCTGTATCCTACATCTGTAAAAATTTCGAATTATATACGTACTTTTGTTTTAATAAAGGATTCTATTACCTCAACCAAAGGGTTAGATTACTAGTTCCATAAAAAAATAGTCTAAGATTATTTAGATAGAACTTCGATCGCCCCTAAAGTACAGTCTATTAAACCCCATTTCTTTAAAAATTATACTCACATTTTTTTTTGATACTTCTATAAATTAAAAAAATAGATATTAAGAGCTTGGAAGCTACAGAGATAAATGATTCCCTTGCCGCTTATATTAGAATAAAATTTGAATGGCTATTGCCTAGGGTAGAAAATCAAGGCGGAATTATAAACCATAAATAACTACGTTTACTAAAAAAATATTTTGAGACATCAAAACTTATTTTCACTTCTAACAGATTACACAAGATACAAACGATTTTTTTTTCTTGTATTTGCATAGACGTAGTTTCTTCGACGCAACCTGCTTTTGCTGTATTCGAAAAAAAAGTACAATGTTCACGACTCATGGATTTTTGTAAGCTAAATAACAACTCATAACAAGAGCATTGTACTCCTAAAATTTTGGGAAAAGGTCAATCGATTTTAATTATTAATTATTTTTAATATTATGCAGAAATTTACGTTCAATTAATTATACCACAAAGAAAATTACTAAGGCCAAAATTGTGAGATAGAGAAAAATTGCATGAGGTGAAAAATTGGAAAGCTAACAAAATTACATGAATTTAATATTTACCACACTTTATCAACGATTCAAACAAAGAATGTACATGAAGTTAAATTATGCCACACTTTATTAACTATTCAAACAAAGAATTTACAGGATGTTAAATTATGCCACACTTCATCAACGGTTAAAACAAAGAATTTACATTATTTTAAATGATGCCTTGATCCAAGTAATTGGTTAGTTAAAACAATTAGCTTTGAGAGTTTATATCTTGGACGTCCATAGCTTATCCCAGACAAAACACATGATGAATTAACACAAAATGCGTCCTGAATCGATGATGTGATGTTATGATGATAACAACAACTGCGTAAGGGGAAAAGTTTAATCCCCCGTACCTCAGTTCACAATATTATGAGTTCTACCGCAGTTTCACGGTCCTTTTCCCAGAGTGGGACAACGTTAGATTGATTTAAATGCCGCAAATGAACTGTTAGAAATCTTGTGTGAAGAATTGACACGTGTTATAATGTAACACTTAATTAAGTATAAACATCCAGAAACCTTATTTATAATTTCATAAACAAAGGATGAGTCCTGAATAAGTGAATTTTGTGAAATATCCTAGCAAGTGATGTTATCTATACAATCCCAGGACTGTTAAATGGTGTTAGAACTAGTTAACGATTTAAAATCCTAACATGAACTGTGAATTTACAAACAATAAAACTATTCTATTTCCGCTTCGAAAAAACCGCGAGAATTAGCTACGCGTGTTGGAGAAAACTGTGGCGTCGTCATCGTTACGATTAATTTTCGTTAAACAAAGGCTCCCCATTTTTATTAACTACCAAACCAACTAAAATTAATCTAGCTAACTCACCACGTGGTTTCGCTCACACCAAACAAACCCGTGAAACAAACCAAAAGTGACACTTCTCACCCCTTTAGCAACCAAATCAACTTCTACCAACCCTCTCAACAGAAATTTCCTAGGAGAGCTACCAACTACCAGAAAAGAACTAAACTTGCACATGATTGCCTATGTTTAACGATTTTCTTGCTTGAATTTTTTTTTCAAATTCAAATTTATTCAAATGCGATTTCGCGTCGCTGTTTTTTTTTGCAAATTTGGTCACCACATAATATTTTGCACATATGGATAAGATTTATCTGGTAACATTTTGAAATGACGTTATCAAATTTTCGGATGGTACAAAAAGGTTTAATTTTCATTATCAATTTATCATTCTTACGATGACCTTAAAACATGCAACATTTCAAAGCATAAATTGTAAAATGTCATACAATTTTGATTTTTTTCCCAAAAAATCCGGGTCTCTAGTTTAAATAATTAAGGCGGATTCATAAAATACAGGTTTCAGTTCATACATTTTAAATAAGATTTCCTTTGTAAAATTTTGAGTAGTAAAATAGTGGGTAGTAAAAATGTGATGTTCAGGTTAATCCATTGTATGAATATAATTTAAATTTTTGGCAAACTCTGTTATTATTGAATGTTTTATTTCCCACAAAATTGATAAATGGTTCTCGAGTGACGTGTTAGCTGTTGATTGGCTAAACAGAATAGATGATCCCTCTAATATTTCATCTAAATGGTCCGCTAATTGTAAACTAGATATAGTTATTAGTTATGGATGGGGAAATTGATATTAGTTAAACAATAATTATGTTGTGGTTATTTTATTAATTAAAATGCTATATGACACATTTACACAGCTATACAGTTATATTACATATACGTACATATTTACAACGATATTACAAGTAAATTTCTCAAAAAAGCCTCCCAGTAGGTACTTTAAAAAGTCATAAGAAAACATGTTTTTACACAGATATAAGTACATATACATATTTTTTGTAAACTTTATAAAGTATGCCATTTATATATAGCCATTTTATATATGTTAAATTAAGTTATTAAATTCGCAAGCAGATATTTAATACTCCTCAAAAAATCCGCAAGATTGCTTTAATTTTGGCACATGGTTGTAATAATTGAATGCAGTTAGTAGTATGCAGAAAAATCCATGGTTGTAATTGCCAAATCATACTTATTACATCAAATAATGAAGAAGTCTTCTTTAGGGAGTTACTTGTTTAACATTACAAAGATACCTATTCACAGTTACTTAAAACTTTAAAATATTTTAATGTTTGCATTTCCAAGACAGACAGTTTCGAATTAAAATAAATATCTATAAACCGAAATCGAAAATCAAATATCTATCCCTGAGATTCAGATTCTTCAACATTTTCATCAAAACAAATAAAATAAACAAAATGAAACAGTGAAGCATGGAAGCCCAAGTAAAGAATATCAAACTATGAGCATTTTTTTTTGTGTAACAGCGAAGATAGGTAATATACAATCACAGGTAGAGGGACATCAAGTTACGACAATTGGTACAATATTGTGTGACCATTCAATTTAAAATACTACGAATTAAAACTGGCTATGATACCAACTGTACAGGTGGTATTACTGACTTATCACATCATTCTGTGAGCTGTCAATGCCACGTGATCCGTTAGAAACAGAAATAACCTTACATTTTTCGAGCACCGTAATTTTATTCCCATGAATGTTTTGTATAAACTCTTGTAACGTCACATGTTACGACACTTTTCTGTTTTACAGTGTGATTTTATTGCCAGTCATAATTAAGATATTGCTTGTATAACATGTTTTAGCTTATAAAGCTGGACCCTCAATAAAAAATCATAAATAAAAATGTTTTGGTAAATATGTGATTCATTTAACACATTTAATAACACAAAAAATATCAGTTTTTACAACAAATCAAATTTCCAATATGCTCAAAATCTATGCAGCTGTTCCCATACTCACCATAGTTTTAAAACCTACAATCAAATACTAATGATATAATGTTTGGTCTGTTTTAATGAGAAAAATTCAGAGATCAATTATTTTCAGTGGTCACGTTTTGAGACATCAATTAATTGATAATCACTCAAACTTAACCCCACAGGGGTCAAAAACGTCAGCGCAATTTGTATTTATACCTCCTTGTTCTTGTGCAGACTGAGTATATCAACCACAATAATAACAATGAAATGCCCAACATGTACATTGTAATGACAGTGCTTTCTTTTGGCATCTCACATTTCATAAATGCGTAGTTGTTTGGCGTGAAAACTCCCTAAAAATACCAATTCACAAATAGTACAACAAATACAAGTAACACTTACGAGACCAAAATTTGGATTATCTTTATTTCTCCAACTGAAACTAGGAATGGTAATTTCTATTCCATCACCAGTGGGCAGCAGTCTTGTACATCCATGATGGGTGTGACCAGACAACGCCAACCTGGGCTTAATTTGATTCAAGAGCTGTGTTGTAGCTTCTTGACTTAAACACTCCCAACGTTCGCGAAAACGTTCTTGTTTAATTGGATGTGGGGCTGAGTCAAAATCACTACATTCCATGTCTGACTGTCTATACAGTGGATAATGCTAAAATTTGTATGGTAAAATGAATTAACATAAGTCAGTGTGACCTACCTGCATAAGAATAGGTTTGCTGTAAATATCAAGTTTGGTTTTAGAATCACATTTACCACTGTATGCTCCTCTACTACACTGCAAAATCCCTAAAGCATACTAATCATTTATTCAATTCAATTCACATGAGATGTAACTTACTTTCGATTCTTGTCAGCTGTTGTTCAGCTGGTTTACATAAAAAACACCCATCACCTTCCAACGCCATACTGTTAACTAATATGAAATGATTCCCACGTACTGTAATCATTTGTACAGCAGGAGCATTAAAAGCTGACACAAATCGTTGATTTAAATATGGACTTATTCTGTAGTGAAAACCAATATCATGGTTACCCACAGCTACATATAATTTCGTTGTTTCTGGTACAGCAAACAAACTATAAAATCTCTTCACGTAATAATCAAATTCCACATTACTACAGTAAAGCCCCTCATCAGTCAGATCTCCCAAAACAAAAACTAACTCAGGCTGAAGCAGATTTATAGCCGTTTGAAAAGCTCTATGCATTTGCCACTCTCTCCTCAGCTTATCAAACCAATGACCATTTCTCGATCCCAATAAGTGTGTGTCTGCAAGAACCATAACTTTAACGGGCTTGTTTTCAGTTTGTTCGACGGTAGGGTCTTCATTTTTGGGATCTAGCTCCGGCCAGTCACACTGAAATAAACATGTCCCCATAATTACAAAACAAGCATAACCTCAATGCAACCGTAAATACTTTTAAAGGTTTTTAAATTTAAATCATGTCTTTTTGAATATACTCACGTTTTGCAGAACAACGTAATAAACTACGTATTCACAATACAAAAATAAACAAATAATACCGAAAAGTGTTTTCAGATAAAAGCCCACATTTGAGCGCATTCTGTTTACTGAACTGTCAAAATCGAGAGAGACGGTGTTATACACATATACGTCTTGTTAAGTGAGATGGATACAAAACAAGGGCTTTGCACTTTTACACCTGCTCACACCTGTTCAGAAAATCCAGAGGCGGACTGATTATATTTGGTTCCTCAGAAAAACAGGTTGATCCTTGACTTTATTTACCTTTATATACATTTATTGTTTACTGAATGTGTATTTTTTGTTCTGCGGGCAGCCGCCGTGTATGTAAAAGAAAATGTCCAATTTTTCTCTCCAACTCGTACTTGGCATACGAAAAGGCAGGTTTCTCGCTTCTGTTTTTTTGTAGCTTCCACGAGATTTTGTTTTAATCAAATAATCTCTTAAACTACACCATTCGGGTAAGTAACACAGGTATGTAGTAAACCTAACAGCAACCCAACTTAACTAGAATAAAATTACATAATACATTGTAAGGATCCAATTCAAATTTTTAAATTTCAAATGAATTCCGCGCGCACAAGAAACGGTTGGTAAGAAGAAGAGATTGGCAACCAACCACCCCAAAGAAACAGACGTGCGCAAAGCAAGGGTGGTATTGTCTTGAAAAATGAGTCACTTCGCTTTGACCGCTTGGAACAAACGGTCGACTTCCTTTCGAGCGCTTCGAGCAACAGGTTGTATTTTTGATTGTGAATTATTCTGTGCCTTTTGCTGTTGTTTTTGCTTTTCCAGTGTTGATCCGTTCCATTGGAAAACCTAGCAGCCCCCGTTGAGCCATTGGGTGTTCCTGATTTCTCACCGTTCTTACGACGAGGTTTTTGTGTTCCTGTTGGCGGTAAGCCGTGTCGAAATCTTCGCATCTTTGGAGAGGTATGTTTTGACCCCATGTTTTGGACTGGATCCTGTTTCGCGGCGAGTTTCAAGTCCCGAGGGTGCTTCTGACCTCGTGACACAGCGACGCGTGCGCTTTTTTCCACTAATCTCGTTTTTTTACCTTTCATTTAAAATCCGTTGCAGTAGGGCTTTACAGGAAGTGATTTTTATTTCGGGCCATGCTTTATTTAGCTATATTTGTGAAATCTGTATTTTAGATGGCGGCAAACGAGTTGTTATTTTCACCGTTCTTTGTTCAGGCAGCGGCCATTTTGAAGCGTCCATTTGTTTCTTTTAATCGAGCACATGTTTTAACTGAATCTATTGAACAAAATAACAACATTGTGGGTCATGGGGGGACGTGCCTTTATTCTTTGGATTTAGCACATCGTTTATACAACGCCACAGGATTCATCGTATTTTTGCATCGCATATTTTCGACGCCTATTATTTGGAATGACGAATTCGTCCAACGCCATTTTGCAACTGCAGATTGTCTGCCATGTTTGTTTATGTGTTTTGTTTGGGGGAAATGTATGTGTAATAATGGCCCACAATGCAGCTAAATAATTTCACGTTTGAATTTTAACCAATAACTTGACTGGACACGAATTAATATTAATCACATGTAAATTTGTTAACTTTACAATCTTTCACCTCATGCAATTTGTCTTTGTCTCATAATTTTAGCTTCAGTAATTTTCTTTGCTGTATAATTTGAATTGAACGTAAATTTCCATGCTCTGCAGTTTTGACCTAACATGATATTTAATTTGTACAAGCTTATTTCACACCAGATCTTGTTTTTAATAAATCTTTGCTAAGTTTTGATCATGTAAATATTTTGTTGATGAATATTTCTATCATGTAAATTATCTGATGTCCAAATTTAATCTCAATTAAGAATTATTTGTTGTTGAATTTCCGTAAGAGTGTGTGGCGAATTTAAATGTTGTGTATTGCTCTTTGTTGAAACTTTAACACTTGTTCGGTTGTCATTTAATATTAGAGTCATAGAGATTGAACATTTAAATAGAATTGAAGGTAAATAACACAATAACACGTAGTGTCGGCGATGGGCGCAGTTCCTAGTTGCGGTAGCGGAATGTATCGTGCTGTCCGCACAAGATGTGCAGACTTTGAATCAGATTTCAGTGGGAACGGTCTTGACGACGAGGTAGTAGTTGACCAGACTTCACCGCTAGTTTTAGGCCGAAACGGCCTGCTTGGACGGCATGTTCGTCATGGAGGGGTGCTGTCTGGCAGGCTTGGTGTAGATAGAATCACCGTCGCGGGGGAAACCAGCCCAGACCGGGAGCTCCAAACTTCGCTCACGCTACGACACCCCCTCTGGGTATTTTGCTGTGCTCATAAATGAAATTGATATATATTTTGTTCTATATTTTGTTCGATCGCCACACTCTCAAAATGATTCGGTCTCTGCCATCCAATTTACATAATGTGTAGGTCTTGTGTTTGTTCGGTTTTCATATGTGTATGTATGTCTGTCAATTCGCGAGTGTTTTCGTTCATATATCTTAAGGTGTTTGACATGTAATATGTCGGTGAATAAAACCCCAGGGGGTTTTGGGGAATGAAGACCGATGACACCTTGGCCCTGCGGACTCGCCAGAAGGGCAAATCGAGCCTCTGTTGTCGTTCTTCGTTTCTTTTTCCCCCTTAGGGAAGGCTTTTGACCAACCTAATTTTGTCTATTATTTCTGGCGCTCTCGACAGTGTATGCACTTGTATGAAAGAACTTCTTCCCGCCATTTTTTAAAAACAAAAAAAAAAACACAACGTAGGTTCTCATTTGTTAGACGATCACAGCCAAGGCCAAACTTTGAATTTTTGAATTTTTCGCGGGCCTTTCAAACTGTTTCAAGGTCAAATTTTAAGGCGGGAAGTTTGGGTTATCACAACATTGTTATGTAAATGTTATGTTATAAGTTTATAATAACTACAAGGAAACCAAGAAAAGTTATTTTTACATTTGTATAATTATATTGTGCACTGAAACACTACAAATTATTTTGGAACTAAAATTATATTACAATATTTATTTAAAAATATTGCTGTTATTCATATGGCTTTAAACTTAATATTAAAGAACAACTTTACGAGTTTAAATAATTTATTAGTAGGCACTGCTATACGTGTTTCGGTACACAGTACCGTATTCAGGCAGTTCTGGTTTTTAATGAGCTAATTTCAATTTATACCTGATTTTAACAATATCGTTTACAAATCTATGTTTAGCAAGGTAGATTTGTTTATCTCGGTTTGGTCCTTCATTAATTTATTGAATCTTTTATTGAATTTATGATTTTCTTGAATTAGGTGGTTCGCGTACGTGGAATTTGATTTTTTAGTAACATATGATGATTTATGTTCTTTGATTCTTTCCTCAAATTTTCTCCCTGTTTGACCGATGTATACCAGAGGGCAATCACTACACTACAGCTTAGCATGTAGACTCCAGAATTCGATTTCTTAGGTCACTTGTCTTTACTATTTTTTATTAATTTATGTAAAGAGTTGTTGGCACGGAAAGCGATTTTATAGCCTGCATTTTACAGTATTTTTGCAGTTTTAACAGAAATTTTTCCAAAATGGGTAATATATACCTACTATTATTATATTAATGCTGATGTAGTTTTTGATTTTCTTTTTTAACATATTGTCTACAGTCTCATCCGAATAACCATTATTATTAGCTATTATTTTAATTCTCTTAAGTTCGACGTTACAGTTAGTTTCAGATGAGGCGACTGTCAACAATTTGTGTAATATTGATTGATATGCGGCCAGTTTGTGACTCCAAGGATGTAAAGACGGTCTGTGAATTGTAGTATCTGTATGAGTAGGTTTATGATAACAGCAGCACAACTTTTGCTCTAGGATGTATCTATAGACCATCGTCATCTCTTTTCAATGACGATATAACACTTTTCAACCAGATTAGCAATATATCGAATACATATGACAAAGTGTATATTTTCGGAGATTCAAACCTCCCAGATGTGGATTGGTCCATTAGTGGCAGTCGTTCCTATTCTCCTTCCTCTCAACTTTTGGTGGATTTGCTGCATAATAATCATCTTGATCAATTGAACACGCAGCCAACAAGGTTCAGGTCGAACCAAAAACCGTCTGTGCTAGATTTAATTATAACGTCTGATGACAGTTCAGTCTCGAACTTAGAATATTTTAATCCATTTGGTGAATCGGACCATTTAGTTCTAAGGATGCATTTACAGGTTTGTTACACACGTCGCAGGAGCACTATCACGCTTGAACGGAAGATGTTAGATTTTGAAGCACTGAATAAGTACTTAGGCAACCTAGACTGGAAATCTCTTCTTTCAAATGTGTCGATAAGCAACAATTGGGATTGCTTTAAACAACACTATCCGATACGGTCACACAGTACACCACTATTTTCATGTTTAAAAGATCTTCATCAAAATCGTCGATTAACGGGGGAATTTTAAACCTAGTACGCAAAAAGAAAGCACTGTGGCGAGCTTTTAAACGAACAGGAACCGAAACGAATTACAATGCTCACAGGGCTTTTTCTAACCATCTTTCAACTGTCATCAGAGAGGCTAGACTTGTTAATGAGAAGTGTATTGCAGAGGATAAAGACACCATAAATCTTTTTAAGCACATTCGCACTACTTTATCAGGTTCAGTTAAAACGGTTAAGGTTAAAGATGCGGCCGGCATGGTTAATGATAACAGTTACACCGTTGCCGATATATTTGCCGATTCCTTTGCTAAAGTGTTTACTCTGGAACCTCTTTCTCGGATGCTTAATTGATCTAGCGTTTACAATTCGACTAGTATCACTGATATAAAGTTCTCTGTGGACGTGGTGTTAGATAAGCCCAGAAGGTTGAAAGTTACTAAATCTCCAGATCCTGATCTTATTTCCACCTGGGTTTTAAAGACCTGTACAGCCTCTCTTTCCACTCCGCTATTCTATTCTAATGGAGCAATCATTCATGCAATCTAGAATTTCCTCCGACTGGAAAACGGTGTTTGTCAAACCAATTTACAAGAACAAGGGTGATAAGTTTGATGCATCGTTCGTGGTCAAAGTCATGGAATCCATTATCTGTTCAAATTAATCTTTTGTGCTGTTTGTCAGACTGGACTAGTGACATCGACATGGGTCGCCCCGTCAATATTTTATATCTCTATTTTTCAAAAGCTTTTGACAAGGTTCCGAATTGTAACATCTTGGTATACGAGGAAACCTTCTTGGGTGGATAGATTCTTTTCTGAGCGATCGAACATTTCGAATCAAAGTCGGTGATGGACTTAGTAGATCTGTCGATGTTGTGAATGAGATGCCCCAAGGCTCAGTGCGCGGTCCGCTGATTTTTGTCGCTTATAGTGCCGACATCAAAAATACCATAACCTCGCCTTTCGCTATGTTTGCAGATCACATCAAGCTTGACAGCAGTTGTGCGAATTATAGGGACTTAGAACGAGACCTTCGAGCAATATATGACTGGACTGGTTGTTACCTTTGAATTTAGACAAGTGCATAGTCCTGGACCTTGCGAATAAAAACCCGAAACACGTTTATTCCATTGACAACTTACCTCTTTCATGTACATTTGCACGTTGATTTGGGTGTTGTTGTCACCTCCAATTTGTCCTGGACTGAGCATATCCAGCGAGTTGTGGGCAAAGCAAATAAAATGCTCTTTCTTCTGAGCAAATTATTTTCCAAAGCTAGTCCATTAGTTTTTCTAAACTTTTCAAAACATATGTGCGGCCGTTGCTAGAATTTGCTAATGGCGTTTGGTCTCCCATAATTCAAAAAGACATTTTGTGCTTGGAATCTCTCCCCTCTTTCAGACAGGCGCAAACGAAGGGATCTAATCATTACTTATCAGGCCTTGAGTAATAGTCTTTCCCCAGTCAGCCATCTCTTCCCTCTCAGTACCTCAGACCGCACCAGAGGGCATCCTCTAAAGTTGCGTAAGTTGATGTTTTGCACTTCAGACTACCAAACAATTTTAACGAATAGGGTGTTTGACAGTTGGAACGCGTTACCCAAGGATATAGTGCTAGCCTCATCTATTGTAAGTTTCAAATCGAAATATGATACATATTGTGCAACAAACAATCCTTAGTTATACTCGAGATTAAGCCACTACTCAGTTTGTCACGGGTATAACAGGCGTAGCCTCTGCCCGATCGCTTCCTTAATGATAATAAGGAATATTCCTTACTCGTGGTTTATTTCTTATATTTTGTCTGTAAGAAAGTTATCTTCACACGTCGAAACATTTTATTTTGCCAACGTCGATTTTCAGCAGTTGATTTATTTTAGCTTCTATTAATTGTGAAATTTTTTTTCTGGTATAGAATTGGATGATATGGTTTTTGCATTTTATATTGTTGTTTTTACGAGAATGGAGACATCTATTCCTGAGAAAAAAGTAAATTATTGTTACGAAATAAACCCATACGCCCCCCGGTACGACGCCTATGAGTTTTCTAGTATATGATGGGTGACTAATCATCGGTGGCGGCGGCCGGAAGGCGTTCGCTAAAGAAAAGCCTGGAAGCGGATTTCTCGAAGGGTAGCAGTTAGTTATGTCCACACAATGGGAGAAGTAGAGTCCAGTCAAATCCCTTCCAGCCGGAATTATTTTGTACATAATCGCTGTGCAGTTAGTCGTGTAAATTTGAATTACTGAGAGAAATAATTTGTTGAGTTTTACCTACGCCGACTTTTAATCACCGATGAGCGTATTATTGTTGTTAAAGTTCATAAAAAAAATGCTCACTCAGTTTACAATAAATGTGAAAAATAGTTAGAATCTTTCAAAATTTGAAAACATTAAGGACTCAGTGTAAAAAACTTATCGAAATTCTGTACAATTCATGCGTTTCTAAAGTCACCAATAATCCAATTTTGGGAATTTATAGTTTTACAATTTTTCCTTGGTTCCATAGAAGATACAAACCGTGCTTTTAATAACAGTTATGGAGTAGAGGTAGTCTTTTAGGAGATACACTTAAATTATGCTAAGATCTTAACATCTTTATCTGTGATTCGACTAAAAGCAGCTTATTGGCTTGAAATGTTGACAAATGTCACGTCATATTATTTCTTAATATTGAATTATTGCTGAAATTTGACTATTATTAAGTGATTCTATCTTGCTTCATACTGATGAAGTGAAAGATTTCTGTATTTGGACTCATCTGGAGGCACTGTCAGAATTTTTCAAATAGGTAACACATAAATTAATTCTTGAAATTTTATTTTTGTCTCTTTTTGTTTGGACTCATCTCGTTTATTATTCCTTCATCTGATTTCCTAATTATAAAACAGATTGGAATGTGGATATTGTGTAATTTTCATTTTAATTCATTTGAAGCCTACTGATATTTCCTTTCTTCGAGAACTTGTACATGGTGATATAGCTAATGCCTACTTATAAGAAAAGTTACTATTCTTCGTTTTCCCTACTGATAGGACTCATAGTCGATCCAGTTAGACGCATTATCAGTGAGTTATTAAAAAAGAAATACATAATTATTGCAAAACAGGAAAAATTGAAATTGTTTTCAACTGAAAAAATGGTGAATAAATTTTGAAAATTTGAAGCTTCACTTCGAGATATTAGAAAATATCAGCAAAATTTTCTCTTACTTCCCAAACCAGAACAATCAACAAACTGAAGATAAGCATACCTAATCAAGTTTTCAATTATATAATGCATGAGCACTGTAGGTACATTCTCAGGATTACAATTACAGTACTGAGAATCCTTAATAGATTAGAAAACAACAAAAGTGCTGATTTAGTGTTTCTAATAATTAATTTGTTCGTCCATCCTTGTTTTCGTTTAATTTCTTCTTTAATTATATTATTTCATGCTTATGTTTTTGGTCGTATAGCAACCAAGCACTTACATTTGCAGAGATTTGATTTCTTTTTCTTTGGTAATTATTTTTTTACTTTTTTTTAATAAATGTGTTCATGCCCAAATTTTCTCTTTAAATTAAAGTATAGTCCTAAAACTGTGGGGAACTTTTGTGAAAAAACGTAAGTCATTATTTTCATTCTTTATTAAAATTGCGTATGAATAGTGTAAAACAATTTTAATTAATGTGATTGTGGCATTTACTTAATTTTACGTATTTATAAATAAAACGATTTTATTTAAACAAAATAAATTAACAACAATCGAAATCTAAGAGTAAAACAACGGATTTACAATATTATCAGCAACTTTTTTGAATTATTTACAGTTTGGTTAAATGGTTATTATTAGTAAAATTTTCCCATGTGTGCATAATTATCAGATAAAATTTATTTCAGATAAATACTTATTACAATAAGAATTTCTTTAATTCGTGTCGTTTTAATATCAAATAGGTTGGTAGTGACAGAAGAATAAAATTTTCTGTTGCTAATTATAATAATAATTTTAACTACAAATGGGAAAATCGAATAAAAACTTGTGAATTCTATCATACAAAATGTACTACATAGAAGCAAAACTTGGGTACCTGAACAGAAAGAGAGACAAACTGAATTTGCCGTGGTTTGTCAAGTCTTACATCCATCGATGCGTTGCATTTACGGTAGTTTTGCTAATATAAAAATAAAAAAGTTGGAAAAATCCTGTATTTCAAAAGAGATTGATAAGTGTCCACTTAATTAAATCTATTGTGTTCACTTATTGTTTGAAATTGGCACACTACAATGGATATCATTCTGATTGGTCATCATTGTTAGCAACTTAACAAAAACAACCAAATAAGATCTTATTAAAATTATTAGTTTCAGCTAGTTATGTAAAACACAACAGTCTATATCCATTTTCTCGCCTCAATTCGTTTTTGAAAAGAAAGGAACTGTGGTGTTCAACATAAATATAATAAATTTCACTAATTCATAGTCATAAATTGTCATAATATTTTCAACACAAACAACAATATATCAACGTATAATCAAGATAAATATAACATTATTCCCTGATTCGTTATAATAATTATTAAAATCGCACGTTATTTAACAACAATTATTAACATTAGTAAATACATAACTTAGTCAATAGAGTAATAAAATTTACAAATGTTTATGAAATAACTGAATTTTCATAGCACCTATAATTTAATACTATTTACATATAGATTTTAGCCGACGTAGGTACGCAACAATAACAGCTAAATTTTGAAGTTTTTGTACAGATTGGTAGTTAACATTACTTTTTGCATGTTGCGATTTAACATTTACAGTTTGTTTTAGAATGTTTTCAGATATGATTTTCGGTTGTGTGTTATTATTGCTAAGTTTTAATTTTGCAATCTGTATAAAGACTAAATGAATTTAGTACACTGTAATATACTTTCTGAGGTCGCAGCATTTAAGCTCTATTTCTACTCTATATCCATCTTCTGCTTAAAGTAGATCCCGCACTTAAGTCTAAAATAAATAACATTATTTACATTAGCGCTCAAAAATCAACAGTGCTTGCAAAATGCAGTGAAGGCAGACATTGAATGGTTTCTTTCGTGAACTTTTGACTTGTTTGAGTTGTTTTACGGAGGCTTTTATCATGAATCCCAAAATCTTTCAAACCGTGTCCTATAACCACCGTAAAATAAATACCTTGAAACAACGAAAGTGCTTTATTATCAGTACTTTTTGGAACTTCGAGGACGAACATTTTGAGAACTATGCTGCTTTTACATGTACTAGTTAATGTAAACAAATGTTCTAACCTTAGATAACAACGGTACATAAATGAAGCAAACATTTATGTAGCTCTGATCAGTTATTTACTAAGGCTTGCTTATTTTTGTAACGTGTAGTATTTTGGCACAGCTATTAATTTAGCTAGACATCTTCCTTTTTTTTAGTTGTTTATGTATTACTTATTTTATGTAATACTGGATTTTTACAAAATAAATAAGTATATTGTAAAATATAGTTTGTGTATATACATTTGCAGTTGATTTTGTTCTCGTGATATTCGAGTGCCTCTCCCTCTAGAAATTGCATTTGGTGTCACCGAAGTCACAATATCAAATAGTTACATTATTTGACATGTGATTCTATAATATGCACAACCATTTGCTCACAACAAAAGCGTATTACTAAAGCTGTACACAACAAGTAACAATTAATGAGTTTGAGATGTTCTTTAATACAATGGTTTGAATGCATATTATATTGATCCTACGAAGAACTGCACCCATTTATCCCCACCGTCGATAAAAAAAAAACATTTGGAATCTCGTTTAACCCCAAAGAAAACTGTGAGTGAATGCAAAGAAAAAGAAGTCAGTCTTTAATAATGAGCACCCACGTGCCCAAGGGATACATTTAAATCTTCCTATTCATAAACCTCATAAATGGGAACAGCCCTCCACCTACTACTTCTACAAGCGAGATTTCATTGTCTAGGCGATAATCGTGCTCTAACAAAGGAATCTCGCTTCATGATACATGTGATATGTAGTAGTGTAGAGTTCAGTCGGTGACGTGGCTGGGACCTGGGGGGTCGCTAGCGGGGAGGCTAAGCAAATGTTAAGCTTCCAAGAAGATAAGAGCCGTAGGTTTCGGCTCCATGTTGCTCTTCTTTGCCTCGACAACCAGGAACTCTATGTCTTCGCGATCTCTTCTTGCGAAAGATTCGGCTATGAGACGAGCCACATCTTGGTGCTGCAGACCTTCGACCCGAGTACCGTCCACTTGGAGGATGAGTTGGCCAACTTCTAAACCTCCCGCACTGTACGCCGCACCGTTTTCCTACACACATTCAACAATTAAATCATTGTAAAGAAGATGAAGGTGGTAGGTGTAATGTATGGATGATGTATGTCTCTTTCAAACGACCACCTAGAAAGCTTAGTGTTGTTTATTTGCATATTAAATTATTAGTTTAAGTAAGTAGTGTGTAAAATTTTTATGGTATTTCATTCAGATGTAAAAGGTACGGCGCAAAATGATGACCCTGGCATTGTTTTAAACCCTAAATTTTAGGAAATAAATTTTAGTGTTAAAATATTGCACAATGCTTTTTTGGATGTAGGATGTCATTTTAGCTCTTGTATAACTTGTATATAATATATAATTTTAGCAATCACTAGAGGTTGACGCCAAATTTTTAAGGTCGTAAATTTGATATGACATTTAGGGGAATTGTAATTGATTATTTTAACAATTTTAGATTCTGTGCTTCTGTCGCTATTAACAATTAACAAATCTAGCAAAAAACTGAAGCTATGAATTGCCGCATCCTTTTAAGTACATATGCAAAGTTTTATGTAAAACACGAATGCGTTTTTTACATTCTTAGTAAACCAAGTCAGAGCACTTTCACACATTTTTTATCCCTGTCTTCATTTCCGATATATCGACTTCATTTTCAATGCTATGCTTTCTCTAGACCACTGAAACATATGTATATTAATATAAATGGCTAACAATTACTTTAAATACTGTCATAATTTTTTTTTATCTGTTGATATTATCGGTTTGATGGTGGAACCAAGATCATATTATCTAAATTAAATGTAAAAGGAAGTCTACATTTACAAGGGGGAAAAGCTTTTATGTTAGTAAAATAATCAATAAAATAGTAAAAAAGATATATAGAAAATAATTTTCCAGTGTAATGTTATGTGGTCCTCATTATCAGTTGTATGTATTCCTTTGCTCTGTATAGCGCTGTAAGTACACCATAATTTGCCAAAATTTATGGTGTTCGCAACTAAGTATTATGAGTTAAGGCGTAGTTACACAATGGTGGGTTTGTCCAGTTGAGCTGTGCAAATAATAAATCAAAATCATATAGACCGTGTATACGATATTTTACTAGCAACGTCAGCCCCCCAGAGTATCCAGTTTATCATTTTCCAGGCTTGATTGGTAAATACATAGCCGCACAGATAGTATTTAATCAGTGTTAACTTAAATTTACTTGTTAGTGGAAAAATATCTAGAAAGAAAGGTAAAATTCAATTAAAGAAAATATAAATATATGTAATGGGAAATATGCAAGTGTCATGCTGCTTAACTTGTAATTCAATAATCTACTTCTACTGTAATTGCAGATATGCGGATATGGATATATGTTAATTAAAAAACCGATTTAAAAAGTGCATAATTTTAAAAAGTAATATTAAAAAACAAGTTTCATAAGACGTCTGACGACTCGTTTTCTAATTTTGGAATTCGTACTCTAAAATGTCTTATGAAACGTACAATTTTTTTACTCCACACATTTTTCCATAAAAAACGGATTTTTTAAAATTTGGGTAATTTTGTCGTGATTGGTACTGACTCTGGTGATAGTGATTTTGATTTTAACAGGAATGATAATTAACAATTCATGGTTTTTTGTTTTTTTTAAGATAAATTGGACCAGTTTATAGCAACAAAATTAAGGGACAGTTTTTTAATCTTTGATTAGTTTTAATTATTTAATTTCAAGTTAGAAGTCATGATTATCGTGGTTGCAACAGTAAAATAAGTGTTTTCATGGTGATTTCGGACAATTTTAAATTTACCGCAAAAACATAAAATTCAAAATTCGCGCTGGAACTAATTCACATCGCGGTGGCTTTAGTTACTTTTCTGTATATACTACCTAGTGATCAGGAATGACTGAGTCTGTTGGCAGTACTTTTTGAACAAAATTGTTAACTTTTCTAGCGTTTATGTTGGCATAATGGAGTAATTGTGTTACAGATATGTCAATCGTGACATGTGATAAATTTAGGTTGGGTTTTGCAAATTAAAACTGTCAAAAATCTGTCAATATTCACAGCTGACAACCGGAAATTATAGAAAACATCATGATACCAATTTGAACTAAAAATCCAGGATTGCTAACACACGCGGCATACATCCGATGTGACGATTAATGTGGATAATAATTGTACATTTCATAGTAAAATTTAAATCTAATTACAAATATCATTTCGTTTTTTTGACGTTTATTTTATTTGTTATTTCGGTTTCGATAGATAGATAAACAGAGTAGGGTCGCTATTTCCGATCCAGTTTTCATCATAAATGTTTTTCATAATGAAACAAATTGTTGGTGGGGATGATTAGCCAAATTTTGGTTAGCAATTGAACCGTCTACATGCTTTTTTTAATATACATACAAAATTTGACAACAATCGGTCCAGCAGTTTCGGAGATTACGTGTGTAATAAAAATGGATACAGATACCAGAGAGACAAACAGACAAACAGACAGACAGACAGATAGACAGACAGCCAGGCAGTCAGTTAGTCAGATAGATAAATATAATAAACAGATAGATAGAAACGGGAGACTAATTTTTTCGTACTGTAGGGGTCATGAAACGTCGAGAAAACATAAAAGTGGCCATTCGTCTGAAGGACTTGATTACTTAGCTTACGTTCTGAAAGTAAAAATTGGTTTAAGGTGATTTAGACAGAACTTCCATCGCTCCTGAAGCACAGTACAATATATCCAGATTTATTTTTTTATGATAACACTTATTAGTTAAAATAACGATAAAGAAACGTGCTACGCGTTTGTTCCAAGTGAGATTTTCAATGATAAAATTTTGTGATGACGTCATCAACATTTTTGCAAATACACTAATGTCACTTATAGGTGCAGTGTAATACTAATCATAATATAATTGTATTCCCAAATTTTCGGGAAAATGGATGAGTCGTCCTTGATTTAATCAGTACAATAGATCGCCTCATTCATTAATATTCTTGAGGCACCCTCTATAAGTAATTCTAAAAACTAGTGTGTATAAATCATAAGTACATTACATATCATAAAATATTTTCATATTTCAGAGAAGATTTAAAACAAAATTTAGAGATGACGTCATTAATTTTTTGGGAGGGGATAAACGATCAAATCTGGATATCTAGAATGAAAACTTAACACAGATTCATACACCACAAGTGTAGAAATATCTTATTTTATAAAATTGAAATAAGAATTACTTTTGTAAATTTTGTAGATGATGTCATCCCACTGGTGGTGGGGACATCCAAAATTTGAGAACAATCGGTCCGATAGTTTCGAAGATTATATGTCTAATAAAAGTTGATACAGATAGATAGGCAGACAGACAGACAGACAGACAGACGGAAACCGGAGACCACTTTTTTCGAAGGACTCGATTAATTACTAGCTTACATTCAGGATTAAAAATTCTTTCAATACGACACGTGCCCTACCTAACTGTCTACATCACGTACTATTCTTGTATTTACTGAATTTTATGAGGCATCTCCTGTAAGTGCTTATGAAGTCAAAGTCCTAGATGCACTATATCTTTAGCTGAACTATAACCGACAAAATTTATGAGTTGAGTATATACTGTCTAGTAGGTATATACCGTATCCAGGGTCGGATGCAACTAACGAAACATTTCCATGTTGAGAAATGACAACACAAAAGAAACCAAACTACCACAAAAATTGCAAATATTTAATTTGAATTACATTTTAAAATTATACGTCATCTTCCTCCCTGGATCTTCACCCAATTCAGTTTCAATGTTCAATGGTGTCGTATAGTAGTGAAACGGGGTAACGGGACAAGTCCAACTCTGTACTGCCATAAATCATCAATTGTGGGTCCGGTGGTTAAACACAAAACTGGTCTCCATTACTGAACGAAGTTCATAAAACTTTATGAGATACAACTGCACCTGACAAAGTATAAACAAAAAACACACCGGTACGAAGGGCAAAATTTATCTATCATTTGTTACTACAGCAGCAATAAAAAGAAAGTTTTAATTTAGAGAGGTGTATTTTTACGGCAAATTTGACTAATAATTTGTGAGAAACGCAATATTGCCACGTGATAAAAGAAAACTTTGTTTTATGAAGAGACCGTAACATTATTAACTTGAAAGTTTTTTGTACTTAATTTTTTCAAATTTTTTCTTAAAGATCAATATTAGTTATGATATGTACTGTACAATATAACACAGTTTTATAGAGACTGAAATGCTCGTTTTTGTGGCACTAAAAAAGACACTGAATAAAATTTTGTAGTGAGTTAATGAGAGTTTCTGGAGGAATGCTAACAATTTCGCTACGTATGGATTCCCGTAACTCTTCAATGTGAATAGGTCTATTGATATGAACGCGATTCTTCAAATAGACCCACAAAAAAAAGTCAAGCGGTGTCAAATCCGGTGACCTGTCAGGCCACTCACTAGTACCCCTTCGGCCTATCCATCTGTCAGAAAAAGTTTCATGTAACAGTTTTTGTCGCACTTGAGATTCAAAATGGGGTGGGGTACAGTTTTGTTGAAACCAAATAGTTTCTGCTGGCAACTCCGTATTTTGATAACTGGGAAACAATTCTCTAAGTCTAGGCACTATACGTTCCCGCAACAACCCCCCTCAGAATTTAAATTTCCATTAATAAAAAAAGGACCAATTACATGGTAACCAATAATACCTCACCAAACATCAGTTTTTCTGGCGCTGTGTGTCGATTTGCTCCATCCAGTATGGATTTGTGTCGGATTAGTACCTACAGTATTTGTAACTAATGTTAGTTTTAATTTTTTCGTTTTTTGAATAAACTCTAAAATTTAACAACTCAAAGTTATTCAACCAGTGTAAGTAAAATGAGAAGTAGAGAAAGGATTATTAAATTACAGATAAGACAGCAGATCACATTGCTTATATCAATTAAAACATACTTAATTAACAACATTTTAAAGTCAAATTATGACAATCGACTTTAAAATTTCATAGTAAAGTTTATATGGAACCTACAGTAGCCCAAAATCTAAAAATGATGTAAAATCGATAATCCTCCGACCAGATACATAAAAGCTTTTAAAACTGCAACATTTCAGACAGTCAATTAATTATTAATTAACACAGCTTGGCTACTTTGTACGATGTTGTTTGTTCTTTTTTTCGAAAGAAAAACTCACTAAGCTTAGAGGGCATAGATTCTCTGACTGGCGGCATGCTTACATGTTTCATCTGAACACAAAAATGTAAAGATAAAAATAATACCCATCGCCGTAATAAGCAGTAGGTAGGTTGGTACTTCAAGCGTGTAACACTGTACGACTTATAATACCCTGTCAGTGATTTCTCACCAATAAAGTCTACTAACAACTGTCACGATCCTCACTTTAACTACAGAAATTCTGTTATTTATAGCAATTAACTTGCCGTGCATACGCGATAACTGCTCGAACTAAACGCATTAGAGTTCTGTCATAATTGCAATATATGGGGATTAAACTTAAAATACAGGCAGGAAGTGCGATGCACTTACATTTATGTTGATGATTCTCGGTAGTGGATGTTTTGTGTTGGCGCCTCCTTCGATGGCTATTCCTAAGATGGGCTTAGTCTTTTTCACCGTGACTCGCAAGTTGCCTTCTTCGTCTTGAGTTACTCTAGGAACCTCGCGTTGTCCCTCCGAAATGCCATCCCTTGCCAACCTCTGCATGGATTGATGACGTCGCATGCCACCCTCTCCCTCTAGTAACGCTTGTTCGTCCTTCATATCAAAGCTTCTTGATAACTTGTGAGCTAGTTCCTAAAAGACAATTACATTTGTTAGAGAGTTCTGTCTGCAACGAAAATTCGTCATTTGTTTTTGTTATGATTAAGAAAGTAAGATAACAGGCATCTTCGAGACCAAGGTGACATGTTTACACGATATCAAGTTTCAGGTAACAGGAATTGGTGAGTGGAGAATCCACTTTTACGCAAGTGATGGGAGAAACTCGGATCCAACATTGACAATGAATAAGAATTAATACAATTTACTGTCACAGCGGACTAATAAAAATATAAAAAGCTACACACTTCTTTTTTTGTTTGGCGTGACCTCAATGGGAATCAAAATGGTGATGTGAAAGTGACGCCAATTAATATCCGACGAATGCTGTGTAGATGTTATGATGATCTTCAGATAAGTAAACAAATGAGTTTTCTTTTTATAATTGTGCATTTTATTCACGCTTTGATTGTTAAAGCAAGACTTTATGAGAAAATTATTTTATCTCAGGTAAGGAGGCACAAGTTCATGCAACAACTGACGATACAGTTGCGTACAGAAACAAGTCTTGTCTAACATGAATCCATCTCATTGTATCTATGATTAGTGCATACTGAAAAGGTGATGACATTTTAATTAATGACAAAAGTTAAAATTAAATCTGATGAACCATTTACTTTCTCTTGGTTTTGGCTGACGTGAAATTCAAAAACACGAAGAAATTCATTCATTTGAATTTTAGAGTCAATAATAATTAATATTTTACGAAAATTTGTAAACAGATTTATTTTCAAAAGTAAGTGTAGTTTCCGTTACCAATTGCCAGTAGTGGACTGCTCGCCCCCCTGGTATATAAAGGTAGTGCTGATGATATTTTTATAGTACATTTTTACAATCTCGGAAATAATAAGAAATACGAGGTCAGTCACAAACAGTTACCCAATTCATAGAAATTAATAATCTGTATGTTTCACATATTTTCAGTAGTTTGGAATTATGTTAAAAAAGTAACACTAGAAATGTTAGTAAATTTAAATTTTGCTTTATCTACTTATTTAAGCTTAAATACAACAGCTATATGTTCAACAATATAGGGATTATTGAATGTATAGGTTCTGTATTTTTCGGCGTTTTTTTTATAATTATCACATATACAGGATTATGATAAAGTAATGCACAAAATATGTCAAAACTTTCATTTTATTTTCCATCTTTTGACATTTGCCAAAAACAATTTCTATGTACATATGGGTTCAAGTGGCACACACCCAACGTCCCCAAAAATTGTTTGGGTGGGAATCATAAATAGAAGATTCATTTTCCCCTACCTTTTTTTACGAAAATTTAAGAGCAGATCTTTGTTTAGATCATCTTAGAACCGCAGTGCTTCCGGATCTAATTGCTTTCCTGATACAGATAACCCATAAAATTTAGATCGCAGGATTTACTTTCAACAGGATGGGGCACCATCACATTATGGCGGAAATGTAAGGGTTTTTTTTGGATAGCCAATTTGATGGAAGGTATATTGGAAAACGTGGACCAATAGATTAACCATCTAGGTCTCCGGATCTGACACCCCTTGTTTTTTTTTTATGAGGACATTTATAAAGTGGTGTTTAAATGAACAGACCGGATAATTTAGACGACTTGAAAGCACGAATTCGTCATGAAATGACTCGTATAAGTCCCCAGAGTATTGAAAATTCCGTCAGTTAGGTCCACCATCGTCTGGGTTTGTGTCAGAGAGTGAATGCTGAACAATGTGAACAATTTATATACCATAAATTTTTACTCCAACGTAGTGATCTTTTATTTAATATTTATCATTAAAATCAAGTTTATTTTGTTTGTTATTAATTTTCAATGCAATCAAAATTATACCTTCCTGTTTAAAAAAATCATTGTTGACGTAATAACTTTTATAAATTTGACATATGCCAAAAGATGGAGAGTAAAATGAAAGGCTTGACATTTTTTAAACAAATGCTGCGCTTTTTATGAATGTTGTGCATTACTTTGTCATAATCCTGTATACTGAATACGTAATAAATTCAAAACGTAATGGATCCATGGTACCAAAAACTACAGTCTCGAATTATCAACCATTTATTACTTGTGGTTCATTCGCTGCTATCTATATTTGCAAAAATTGACAATGATTCTATAAGTGATGCACCATATCTTTGGAATGTTTGCACAGGGATAATTATGACCTTCTAAAATTATTTTAATCAAGAACGGTTGGCTGATGGTACGTTAGAACCCTCAACCAACCAAGCCAGTGATGGTGAATGTCAAATAAATGAAAAGAGAAATCATTTGATCAATAATTTTTGTAGAACTAAAATTAAACACAACGAAATACAGGTGTCCCAGATAAGACTCCACGAAACTACATGGACTTATATCTTGAAAATGGATAGAAATATTGACATTTTGTAAACGCCACTGTTTTTAGCTTGAAGCTTAATAGCTTAGTATGTACGCTCCATAGTAAGCCCAGTTGACATTGACTTAGTATAACTTTTATGACTTAAGTCAGACCGTTATGACAATAAGGGACAGTAATAATCTTTGCAGTGCGAGCCCATACAAATTAATACACGCCGTGAACGGTAGTGTATCAACAGGGTCGTATTTAAAAGAATATTGTTATTCAACCGCTGGTCAACTCGCTCCTTGAAAATTTGTTTGTTGCAGTTTACAGTAGCTTGTTTGATTTACAAAACTGGTTTGGCTTAAGTTATAAAACTTAGGTAAAAAATAAACTTTATAAATTTTTAAAAAATTGAAATTGAATGAAACAAAGTACCACTACTTTATTTTACAATTAGTTTTAAAAACAGTTTTATTTAATCCAACATGCGTTTTTCGTTACGTTTTCTCACACCAAACAAGTAAGACCAACTTGACGATTTTTTCAATTGAACACCCATTATGTTGGAATATCATTCTTCGCACTGAACACAAAAATTAGTTCGTAAATAGTCGCGGTTAATAAAGTGTCACGTGTTAAAAAGGCACAAACATTTCTAAATTAAGCAAGGGTCGCAATTGCGTCAAATTTTTTGTGTATCACCACAAAAATAAACCTAAGGGCGTTAAATCTCTGGTGCGAGCTGATCAATTTTCATAATAAATGTTTTTCAAAATTAAAAAAAGATAACCATTTTCGATAGACAATAAAAAATACTGATGGTAATACGTAACAGTTACTAGCAGCAAGAGTGTGTTTACACACTTGTTTCCATGACGACGTATGGCAACTAGATGTACTTCTTGATTTATATAATCTATATTATTTACAGTTAAAACTTATACAACATTTATGTCTTTCATTTCATTATAATCGCAATTTAATGATGTATCAGAACAATATCAATTTAAATTCTCCCTTCAAGTTAAAAACAATGGCGTTAACAAAATTTCAATATTTGTATCCATTCTCAAGTTATAAGGTCACGGACTTTTATTTGGGACACTCTGTGTGTCCCAGTATACACGTACAGTCTTTTTCATCATCACTGAAAACGTCATGAATTCAAACAACAAAGGAAACTGAAATAAGTGTCAAATACGACATTCTAATTGCAATAACAATGTTAAACATTTTAAAAGAAATAGTAATAATAAAATAAAAACAGATACAAATATGTTTTCCGTTTCTTCTCATAAAATTTTATGAATTTTTTTTTCGCCATTATAGTATTCAACCCCTGCACGCACAATTAGTAATTCATGACAGTAGAGAGTTGAACTTGTCTCGTTATCCGATTTCACCACCACATTACACCAGTATAATTCGGCTAAAGATATAGTTCGTCATAGTGGATGCAATAAATCCGCTTGCGTGGCCAAGACCTTCTCCTATTGTAAAAGTAACAAATAAAAATTATTTCAATACGGAACATAACCTACCTAACAGTCTGTGTAACGGGCCATTGTCTGTATATATTTATAGAATTTTATGAGGGATCCGCCGTAAAATGTTTACTTCACTTATATCTTTAGCCGAACTTTAACTACTATTGAAATTGAAGTAGGTGACGACTCCAGTGCTGAAGATATATAATTTTATATTTAAATTTAAATTAAATAATTGCAAAATAGGTACTAAAGAGAACATACTCAAGGCATACATTTTCCATCCCATCATAACTAGATAACGAGATTCAATTATAAAATTTTGTAAGGTACAAATGAAACAAACAGAATGGTACAAATTTCGCAAATATGGTGGTAGTAGAAGTGATGAGTATCGAGCAAAACAACGCGAGAATTAAAACAAGAAATTCTAAAAATGACTTAACCCAGATTGATAGACGTAATTTTTTGGAGCGAGATAATTTAACACAACTCATATGGTATCTAGTTTCGGAGTGCTTTTACACTTACATCAGGTGATTCAAAAATGACGGAGAAGCTCAATGGTACATTGTTAAGAAGTCTCTGAAGAATTCGAAAAAAATGGTTAAAAATATTGCCTGAACCAAATTTTTGCAAATATCAAACTTCAAAGTTGGTACAGGGATTTTTTTAAACCGTTATTTTTGAGTTCTTCAGAGCCTTGTTAATAACGTACCATCGAGCTTATCCGGCATTTTTGATCACCCTGTATATTAAAAAAAAACTCTCATAAAAACACTGACTGTTCACTATTCGCAACTAAATCTTTAGTTGGTTTTGTATCTTACATTGTCATAAATTTTATTTTAGTTGTAGATATGATAGAACAGAAGATTATTTTATAAACTTTTACTTTTACAGTTACTTTAACTCTCTACGTTACAGCACCGTCAGTTCTAAGTCTATAAGTTGGCACTGTTTTTGAAGTATTTATATACATCTGACATAAATGCACCAAAAAAATTCAAAAGATTGTTTTCTTTTCAGAAATGTAAAAATACAAGTAGACAAAAAAGATTTTAAAAGATTGGACAAAATTTAACATATATGTACATAGTCTGGAACCTACACCTCATCCACTATCGTAAGGTGACATGCACATTAGTAAACTATAAGAGAAGGTTTCTAATTCTAATTTACTAAACTAAACTAAAAGCTGTATTGTGAATATACTGTGGGATTCATTTAAAAATAATAGTAACTTTAAGTTAAGTCGAAAGCCATAAATAAAAGTCAATTATCCTTGTATTAACCTGACTTTGTATTTTTTATTATTTCAGAGGTGACATCTACTTAAATTTAATAATACGACATTTGTGCATTATAATTAAATTAGATCTATCTTATTGTGTGGTCTCCCTTTTGTTCATTGTAATCTTTTCTTTGTTTGTGGAAAGCTAGCACAAAAACCGCATCTAAATCTCCACTTTAAATAACTTTTCAGAGTTCATCTTTATAGACTGGCTTAACTGATATACGACAAAGATCATTAACGTCCGTATAATAATGATTTCATTTACTGACTAAACATAAACACAGTTTGTTGTAAAATATAGTAAGTAATAACGAAGCATACAAACACATTAATTAAATTCGTTCCTACATCTGAAGTAAGAACATAAACCAACTCTCATCCTATTATTATTTAACCATAAATAAATGAAACAGCTTGACTACGCTCGGTAGGTTAATAAACAAGTATTTTTCCACGTCGTAACATTTCTTTTGCATCTGTACGATATCAATTTGTTTTAATTATGTAAATCTCGTTTCAATTAACTTTCATTAACCATAAACAACGAGAAACGAGCAAGGTTTGCTCACTAAAAACCGCAATAGATTGAATAATTCGAAAAAAGTTGGAATCGTAGAAATCACTTACTTTTTTCGCCATTTATTTCTACAGGAAACATCTAATAAAAAGCACTAGAAACTTTCAATCAATGGCTCTAAAATGCCGTCCACCATTAAAGTACAAACCATACACATTTAACTACATCATATCCAGTCAGAGGAGAACACAAAAATACATCAAAGGGTTGAGGTTGTTCGTCAAACAGATTTATATTTTCCATTACAACCCCTTGACGTACTTTATTTTCTTCACAAAGTGTGCACTAAATCTATATGTAAGTTAACATGCCCCATGCTGTGTGGACGATGAAAGTTATTTCTTGATACCTCGTGACGGACCTTTGCAAGCAAGGAAGGCCACAAATTTAGTTCTTGATCAATTTCTAGTGTAATTTTGTTTCTGTGTTTCAATGAAAGTGATTGGACAAATCACAAAACTACAACACTTAGATGTTAAAAAAAATAAAAAGAAAATGCTAAATATGCCAATCGGGTTTTCGTGTTTCTATTAACATCACGATTTATAGGCTTAAAAATAAAAACAAAAAAACCTTAGGTTGTTGGCGTTTTTGATGAAGTAGTAAATCAGTCGTCTCGGTCGAATTTAGGTGCATAATAAAGTATGTCTCAGCTTGAACAAAAGACTTGTGATATCATTGTTGTCAGCAAGAAACGATTCATAAACTGAACCCACTCCCTGTAATGAACCCGTAGAAATTTAAGCCTACGCAAATTTGCAAACGAAAACGAAGGACAGTCCTGAAAAGCGTCGCTAAAGACCTAAGTTTGTTAAAGCCGATAAATCGTGAATTTGTCATGTGGCACACAGTCGATTTCTGGTAATGATGCTCACAGTACTCGTCTTAGTACCAATTTCATTCATACTGTGAAAAATTTCAAGCAAGAGGTTAAGAAGAGTCTAAAAGCTTGTGCTGGAAACTATACACAGTGGTGCTATAGTGAGAGAAAGCATTGTACTGACCACCTGCAGATTAGTCTTTCATTACAAGATTCTTTGTTTTGAGAGACCATCAAGCATCATTTTCTAATTTTGGAATTCTGACTGTGTCGGCAACAAGACTATGTAATATACGTGTGCCCAATCTATAAGGCCGCATGCTGGAGTGCTCTGAAGGGCCTAAAACTTACAAGAGGTCTGCCCCAGTACCAAGACTTGACTTTCTGCGTCCACCCTCCCAAGCTCGACCGCAGACCGCCAAGGTACCCGCTCTGCAAACACATTCCAATTCGTATACTGCGTTCGTTTTGGTCATATCAGCGCGACGTCATTTTGACTTAACAGTACCGCAAAAATGGCCATTATCACATTGGGAACATCAGCAACAACAGTTCAGAATATTTTAGGTGTATGTCAAAAGTGCGTTTGAATTGGTAAAGTACACGAAGTTTGGCCACTTTAATTTTAGCGGACTAACAATCCAACGAATCATAATAGAAAGCTTTTGTAAGCGTAAATTCATGAATATATTTGGTTTAAACTACTCGGTTTTTTATTATCACAGTAGTTACTGATTTAAGTGGCCAAAAATCGTATAATTTACTTTATAAACTGGAAATAAGTATCTAATAATAGTAAATATGTATATATTGTTGAAAACAAAGCTATGGTGAATAACTTGGCAAAATAAACTAGTTATAGTGTAATAAAAAACTCACACAGTAAGAACAAAGCAGTTCTGAATAATATGGTATTGTACCATCAAGGTAAAACGTTTAAATATTGATGCACGTATTATCGATGTTTAGACAATAAACTCTTTCAGTAGATAAAGTATAATGCAAAAATCGTTCCTTTAAAATATAGAAAAAATTTGACAAAAATGTTTGAACAGATAACAAACTGTTTTACTTTATTATTATTATTAGTATAAGCAAGTATAATGATTTTTAATAGCTGAATCATTGTATTAAAAATATATACTGAGTTATTTGCACAGACCTTTTTGGTTAGGATAAATATACAAGGTGATTCGATATCTCGTTAATTATTAAACAGAAAAAAAGTTACAGACTGCAGTTATAGCGAACTTTACAGAAAGTTTTGCTCCTAAAGCTTAATACAAAACTTTTTTTTTTAACGAATGCCGCATATATTTTCACATTGATTGACCTTTTCTTAGGCTTTATAACGACAATTTGTTTTTGAAACTCCGATGCAACGTTGCCACGTCATTCTATTTTTCTCTGGAAGGGTCGCAATAGGGTTATTTTTACAATCTGTATTACATTATTTTATGGAGAGATAAATAAACGTGGGCACTTTGTTGTGCTCTGAATAAAATTTAATATTAATATACGGAGTGTTTATAAAAAAATTTTAAAATTTTCAAATATCGATATTTCAGTTCAGTAAATATGTAATGCTAAAGTAAATGTAAAGAAGCGTCCTATGCGTATGTTTCAAATTAGTTTGTACTTTCCAAAATTTTGTGATGACGTCATAAATATTTTTGTAAGGACACGTATATCAATTAGGATTAATGCAGTGCAAAATATCAATAATAAAAGTATTGCATTTCCAAATTTTCGGGAAAATGGAGTGAGCCTTCTTGATTTGACCAATAAAGCAAATTGATTCATTCATTAATTTTTTGAACCACCTACTACGCAAATCTAAAAAGAAATATTATAATGATAAATCACAAGACAAGTATAGAGTGATAATATTTTGCACAATAAATAAATTTTGAGATGACGTCATGAATTTTTTAGGAGGGGTAAATAAATACATATTGATTGAGGATTTATCATGATTACGATAACCTTAAAACGTTTGCAAGATTTCAAAGAATTCGGTTTTGAATTTCCTGATTTATTCAATAAAATAAATCGACTCATTCATAAATTTTTTTGAGTCACCCTGTATAAGCAAATTTAAAAATTATGAATGCAGTGATAAATTACAAGTACAAATTCATCATATTTTGCAAAGTGTGGATAGGATTTATTAGGCAAAATTTTGAGGTGGCCTCATCAATTTTTTTGGGGGGGTATAAGCAAATATATTTTGATTAAAAATTTACCATGCATGTGACAATTTTTACACATCTGCAAGATTTGAAAGCATACGGTTTTGCAGTTCTTGATTTAACCAAAAGAATTAATGGAGTCATTAATTTTTTTGAGTCACCCTGTATAAGCAAACCTAAAAAATATTCGGTTTTGCAGATTCAAAATTAAATTGCAAAATGTGTTATATAATTTTGAGTTTTTTTTCCAAAAATCTCGACGTTTCGGGTAAGAACTCTACAAGGATTCATAAACTATACATGTAGTACCATACGTTATTTTAATTTACTGTGTCAAGTTTTGAAGTAACGTCATCACATTATTGGTGGGGATGATTAGACAGTTAGGTTATTGTTTTACCATCTACATAATATTCGTAATACACATATAAAATTTAACAAAAATTGGTCCGGTAATTTCGGAGATTATCTGTCTGACAGAAATCGTCACGGACAGCGGACAGACGGAAACGGGAGACTCATTTTTTGGTAGTCTAGAGGTCATGAGAAAATATGTAAGCAGCCAGTCGCCCAATAGATTCGATTACAATTAAATTAGTTAAATTAGATTAAAAACAGTGTGAGACCTAGTAATATAGTGAACCAAGACCTATAAGGTTATATGGCCATCATAAAAGTAGTTGACCGCAAATAAATACCCCCTTTGTGTGGTTCGCACTAAGCTTACCGGTTGGCAATAAATCATCTTCTAAACATTTCTTGCTCATATTTAACAGGGCCGGCTTTCAAAGCGAGTGGTTATTTCGGAACCCTCAGCGGCTGCAGGTAGTAAAGAAATAGTGGAGTGGTGGATTTTCATATTTAGTGAAAGCCGCCCCTGAACGAAACACAAGAGCCGGTCGAGCTGCAGTGGACACGTTATTTACGACCCTAAAACCTTTTCTATTGTAAACAACTTAACTTCGACACAATGGGATGATTTTATGATGGCCATATAACCTTATAACTCTTGGTTCACTATATATTAGTGTATATTTCAAAAAACTGAAACATTGATATTTCAAAATAGTAATGTTTTGGAATTATTTTGTGAATACTCTGTTTATAAAAATTTGATTTAATTGATACCATAACAAAGTGCCCATCTACCCCTGTTGATGCCACCATAAAATATTACAACACAGATCTTAAAAATAACATTATTGCGATATTTTTGATAAACCCTTGCATTGCTAAAAAATCACGAAAACTGGAATGGCAACGTCGCATTAGAATTTCAAAAATAAACTGTGGTTATAAAGCATAGGAAGGAAGAATCTAATAGGAATATGTAAAAATATGTAGGCTCTTACATAAAAAAAAGTATGCTGTGTGACATACCTCAAAAACAAAAAACTCTGTATAGTCGAAAAACTTTAATATAAATATTCATTAATTTAATATAATAAATATAAAATTATTTATATATTATTTACAAAGAACGGTACAACTTTAATTTTTGATTTTTTTTTCGATCTCTAATAATAATTAAGATATTGTAAATTGCACTCTTGATGACTCACCCTGAGACCCTGTATATGTAAATATATTTTGTAAGTAATTAGATAAGCCTTTCCTGAGACAATCGTAAAGTAAGTAAAATTTTAATATTATAATATACAGGTGATTAAAAAATGGCGCACTGTCTCTATGACATGTTGTTAAGGACTGTTTTTTTACCAAAGAAAAAATAATTTGAAAAATTGTTGGGTTCAAATGTAAAAGACAGACTTTCAAAGTTTATATATTTTTAGATATTTGACTATATTTTAATTCACTAGTGTTGGGGGTGTTGGTCAGTTGCACGATGCGGTTAATTTACCCCAACTGGAACCAACTGATTTTTTTTATAAGATGAACCTGTTGACAGAAAATTCAAGAGCAATAAATTATTTTCAACTCTTTTCCCTTTTAAAATTATACTCAGATATTTTTTGACCGCAGCGCGCAACCGTCCCATGCCCGTGTTGTGTACATGAAATTAATCGAACTTACATTGTTCAAAATACTTTTGGAAGTATCATGTTTTTATTCGTAGTTTTCCAAATTTTTTAATATTACAAAAAACTTAAAAATTGTTACTTAGACTTGTGAACTTAATTATGTACCGCTGAGTTTAGTTAAGTGTGCCATTTTTGAATAATCCTGGATTATAGTATGTTTTTAAAAATGGTGTATTTAATACATTTTTCAGATGAGTATATAAATTTTCTGAACGCAATAAATAAATCAATTTTAATAATTATTCTGTAAGTCTATGTTCTAACATTAACAAAATTTTTACAAAAATTTGTTAGCGAATTTCTGAAATATACTATAAATTTGATGGCCATAACTTGCTTTACAAACAAACTCTTGAAATCAGCGTTTAACATAATGACTTGACTTTTTTGTGGACGAATTTTGTTTACTGTTTTTTAATATTTACGTATGATCATTTCAGAATAAGGTTAAAATTTTAAAGTAATCGGTTCTCTAGTTCCACAGATTATTATTTAAGCTATACAGTTCTTTTTATGTTACTAAAGACCACGTTTTTAATATATTGGTACTATTATTATACCAATTATAAAATTTGAAATTTCAAAACTAAAGTCAAATTTTTAAAAACGTTCCATAAAAAACTCATTTATTATAACTGAACTTTGCTCACCTCCAAAACAACATATCTTAAACCGGATTGTTCAGTAATATTTATTCATTTTTTTTAACTGGTGCTACTTAGCATCTTTTTGGTGGCAATAAACACCTTAATTTTATTAATGACAAGAACGACTCTATTTCCAGATTGTCAAGAAAATTAAATAAGCCGTTTTTGATACAAATTAGTCAAATAAATCGATCCATACATTTTTTAAAAAAACCTGGGAGAAAGTCCAAAAACATAACTGGAACACAGATCATATCCCATTGCAAATAAAGAATTGCATTACACAAGAGAAACTACAATCCAAGAACTAACTAAAAAATTAACTAATTAATTAAGCAAATTCGTCTGATAACTATTTTTAAAACTCTCTTAAGAAAGCTAAAACGGCTGACTTAATACCACACATAAAGTGAAACTTTCTAGGGTTTATTGATTAAAAGTAGCTGACTTGATCCACTTTTAGTAATTGTTTTGCAAAAATCGCACATAATTATGCATTAAATGTTCAAGAAAATGAGGGTAGACTCGAAGTGCCGAACGACTCAAGAAAC